GTCGGTCAGGCTGTAATTTTCCTTCCTGGTTCAGGGGCTGAGCGTACCAGCAGAAAGGCAGTGGCAGCCAGGAGATGCTGGTCAGCGGGTCTGAGGGCACGCGGTGCTGCACAGGGAGGTGACTCCCCACCATGGGATGATGTCCCCATGGGGCGCAGGGCTGGGGATCCCCCACTGCCCCATGCCTCCTGTGCCAGGCACTGCAGACCCTGCCCCTGAGCCTTGCCAGGCTGCAGGGCCACCTGCCTCCCCCTCAGCCTCCCTCAGCAGTGACACCTACCTCCCTGCCGGGAGATGACTTGGGAAGCAGGAGCTGCCCCAGGAAGCACAAAAAGTTTATTTTCGATATACGATGAAAGAAAAGCTAGCCGTGTTTTTTTCTAGTGTGAGAAGAAACTTCTTAAGAAAAGAGGTTTTGTTGTCTGCTGAAGTGTTGGCCTGTCTCCCTGTAAGGCTTGGCTGCCATCAGACAGAGGCGCCATGGGTAAGGAATTAATTCACGTGGTTCGTCTCAACCCCAATAGAAAGGAGGTCACATTCAATATTTTGTAATCTACATGAAATTTGTTCTGCTTATTCTGTTTGGTAAACTGGATTTAGCAAAGAAATTTAGCAAGAACTTGGCTAAAAGGTGACACTTTTAGTTCAAGGAAGTCCTGAGCATGCTGCCCCAATAAGCTTAGTTGTACTTTTCCTTATGCTCAAGCTTTTTCAGGATTTTTCTTTTTCCCCTTTGCCTGGCATTTCTTCCTGCAGTTATATATCTCTTCACAGACGTACTGAGGTAGGTCCATCCCTCCTAGCATTGTACAGAAGTTTGTTTTTAAACATCTTTGAACAAACTTGTACAGAAGCTCTGTTTTTAAAGTCAATCATTTCCACAGATATCAGAAAGCTGACTGAGAAATCATTAGCATCAGGCACTTAAAATAACCTTTCTTTAGTGCATTCATTAAGCCCTCAGTTCCTTTAATTGTATATATTATATTTGCATGTGAATATGTGGCTGTGCCCTTCATTTCTTCATGAACTTCTTGGTAACTCTAAATGTTGTTTGTTTCCTTGGACCTCTTGGAAAGAAAATAATGAACTACAAAGAGGTGGCATGATGCAGAATGAAATGCCTCCTCACATCAAGTGAGTGCATCAAGTCCTGCATGCAGTTTGCTTTTGCTTTTCCTAAGGTGTAGCTACTGGGTTGATCCCTTAGTACTCGGTAGCACGGAGCTGGATTAAGCTAAAACAATCCAAGGTGGCATGTTTCTTCTCTTGAAATGGATGGCTGAAGGCAATGAAGCTCTGGAGGGCCAGTCCATCTGCCAGTCCTGAAGAGCAGGAAGCAGTAGGACTGGAGAGCCAGCCCTGGGAGGAGGAGGGCTGGGTTTCTTCAGGAACTTCCCATGGGAGGCAAGGTTCTCCTGCTAACCGCCCTGGAGGTGCTTGGCAGGGACTGCTCAGAAACCCATAAATAAGCAGTCACTGGGGGGCTCAAAGGGAGAAAACAGCACCGTCAGTCTCAGAGTGGGCCACAGACCTGGGAAACCCAGCTAGCAGCTCAGGGCAGGCATCTGGCAGCTCAGGCTAAATAGAAGCCTGGTGTGTTGACTCTGCTGGTAGACACCCCAGCTTTTGCCATTTTAGGGACATGTTTTTCTCTAGTACCAGTATTGCTCACAGTCTGTTTCTCAAATCTGGGGTTGTTTGCCATCTGTGAGATTAAGTATTTATGTAGATAGATTAAATAGCTCACTCTGACACACTGCTTCCATTTCTATTGTGCTGGTGTATAAATTTACATGGTTACAACATTCTCTAATTCAGTGTTAAGAATAACATCTTCAGACACAGACGTTAGTACTATTAACTTCTGCCTTCCCAAGTATGGGAAGCCACTATTAGTAGCATTAGTATTGTATGGCAAGCAACGATCAGTAGCATTAGTATTCTATTAGCAGACATTTCACAGGGAATGAAATTCACTTAAATTAGAGCAGACTGAAAAAGGTAATGCATGCATTAAATATTAATATAGTTTTCTCATGAAAATATTCAGAGGACACATCAGAATTGTCATTTAGCTTTCCCTTCTGTTTGTGGAATATCTGTGATCATAATTTTCTCCCATTCATTCCTTATTTAATGAATTGATTATGAATATTTGAAAGTCAAGCTGTGCTGCTCAGTTGTTATTCATCAGAGAAGTCACAGTACTTTTTACATATTCAGGCATTTATGAAGCAGATCCTCACATGTGCCAGTTTCCACAAATTTTCTATGATGCGCCTTTGAAACTTTTTTTTTTTTTAATAATTTTGAACAGTTGTTCATAAGTGAATTTTAAAAACAATGGAATTTGTGTGTTTGGGGAGGAATTCTTGCTCCCTGGCTTTCAACAATACTGATTCTAGCAGATGAAAACATCCGTGGTCAGGACTGACCTAATAAAACAGAAGGCAGGAACGCAAATGCACATCTTCCAAAGTGCTTGCTTGTGTTTAAAGTTGAATTATACTCTGCTTTTTAGCAAATCTAGGGAGAGTTTTACATCAAATAACTTTAGTACCTGCAAAAGGTCTATTCGTTGCACCCCCTCTGCCCATATTCATCTCTTTGGAGCAAGCAGCGAGGCACCATAGACAGCCAGCTCACACACGCTGTTTTCAGATGGCTACCAGTGGGTGAAATGAAAGTGGCTGAACAGTGCAAGTGTTCAGGTGTTGCACAGGTTGGATGTTGCATCCATTGCGATCTGAAAGTGAAGGCAGGGACAAAAAGTACTACTTGACAGTAATTAGCAGCACCTGCTTCTCTGGTTTTGTGGAATTTGAGGTTCAGGAGCTGATTTATTTACGTATTTATTAACTAAGATTTTCAAGTTCAAATGAAGCCATTTCTATGAATCATTAATTTAATTCTGTTTGGCAGTAAATGCTGCTTATTGCACTTGTTCAGATAATTGCAGGCTCAGTTTTTGTTCAAATCATGTAGCATTATCCAACAGTATTGGAATGGCTTGCAAAATTCACACCCCGCGGAAAAAATAGTGCTGTTTTATTGCCTTTGAAAAAAATCTGAACTTGCTATATATTGAAACTTCTCAACAGAGCAACAGGGCTTCTGACTCAGCTAAGCAACTCCAGATTTTAAAGATATTTTAAAGTCTCACAGAGCCACTCAGGAATTCTGGAAGAAGTAGCAGATAATATTTGATCAATGCTGGAAGAGATTTAATGGGAAGTAAGCTCTGCATCTCAGAATATTATTGCATGAGGTTTTCAAGCACTATTATCTTCAGGAGCACTTGAAATATTCATGTATTTAGGCAATTGATAATTCTGGATTGCCTCCCAAAATATTACTGGATTTCTCATTTAAGACTTTTCAAAGCAGCACAGAGTGCTCACTCTCAGAACACCCAACATCTGTAAGGCAATTTAGGCTAACAAGCCAGAAATGGAGGGATTGCTAGCCAATATTAAAAATGTAGATCTTAGCTACATTGCAAGGAATCTGACGCATCGTAGCACAGTGCACACCAAGATGCCAAGCACTGACTTTTTTTAGAACAGATGTAGCCCCATGCTGTTGAATCTTCGTATTCAAATAGACACATGAGAAATGCATAGCATTTAGCACATTCCTTCAGAGCAGTAACTCCAAGGGCGAGTTAAAATAACTAGCATTATTTCTCTGACTGTTAACAAAAATAAATTCATACCGCATATTTTTGTCTATCTCTTGGTACAATATAGCACATTTATAGTGCCTCCATTCTTGTCTCCTTCAAAGAATATGCAGTAAAATGCTTTAATTTGTAGTGTGGGCAAAGATTGCAAAGATCGGGGATCTGTGCTGTACAAACAAGGGACAAGGACACGCTCTCTACAAGGAACGAAGCAGAAGGGCACTGTGTTTGAGCTCCACAGTCTTGTTAATTTTAATAAGCATTTAATTTTCTGTACAACACTGGAATCTCCAGCTTGGCTTTAATAGTAATGCAGAGCTGCAAATGTGACAAGGACTTTACAGATATTAACAAGATGCATCCTGGGTCCCAAAGGGCTTTCAGCCTCACTGGTCAATGTAGCAGCTTGGGATAGGCATGGACACGAGCAGCAAGTTTGCCACCTATCCTGATTACCACTCTGTTTTATTTAACTCTGCATTCTCATTCATTCATTGTATTTAAATCAAGAAATTCTACTAGCAGTCACTGCCAGTTCGTTCACTGATTTTGATGCCATCTTTTAAAGCCAAGCCAGTAGTGAAGGGCAGGCCCACTGGCCAGCTGGTAAGCTAGGTAGTGATAACTCCTCCAGAAACAGTGATTTCACGAGCTACAGAAACAGCATGAAAGTTCTCTTCAGAAATATGAAAATGTTTAAAAGTGCTTTCGGTTTTTGCCATTAAAAAAGTGCTTTTGGTATTAGACTGCCACACTGCAACTATTAATCCGATAAATTCCAGGCTCTATTTATTGCAGAGCTAGTACAGACATTGGCTTTTGCAGAATTTATCAACTGTTCCCAAGTGTTAATGTTTGCAAAGTTGCTAGGTTGGGCTATGCATCTGCACAGCTATTTGGAGAGAGATAAAGGCAACTTTAAAAAAAATATATATGCCCTTTCTCTCTGCTATGATATTATTAGATGCTCTGTGGGTGGGTTCTCACTTGTCTAAGGTTATTTCATTCCAAAGATCTTATGTGTGGTCCTTAAGATATTACTGTCCTTGGAATCAGAGAGATGACAACAGACTATTGTTGTCCTGAATTAAACATACAGTAAAGTTTCTCAGCTGCCTATGCCTCACTTTTTCTTTACATCTCTCATTTCTGAGGGTAGTTCCTTAATACAGCCAACCAGAGGAAAACAGGTCTATTCTGTGATAACTTTAAAGATCTCAGATTCTTTCTATTCCTGACTGGAACACAAAACATGGTCTTGGAAAATATCACAAAAGAGAACTGTTACATTGGCCTATTTTAAATTGGAAAGAAATACATTTTTTGATTCACTGTTTTTCCCTTTTCTTTCTCTGATTGTAAGTGATCTGGACCGCAGGAATATTCACATTTAAAAGTTGTTGAATCTGTACTTCTTCAGAAGTCATTATGCTTTGGCAATGCAGACTAATCCATGGAAATACACTCAGCAATTTCTGCCCATTTCTTGTTTCAACACCGGGGCGGGCCTGGTTATGGGGAAGGACATTGATATTTACTGATGCATCTGACAAGTGTGATCTCTCTCTCTGATTTATTAATTCGGTTTACTACAAAGTCACTGTGCCATGGATTTTTTCATCATCTTGCCACTTACGGCAGTCCAGGAGTCTCCAAGAAGAGCCTTTCCCTAGATGCTAATTAGGAAAGTGTTAGCCTGTTCACTCACCCTGGCCTATGCTAGAAAGTATAACTCCTCTCCAGATTAGAAACAGGATTAGAAGTATCTCAAAATTTGGAAAATTCTGGGGTTTCTCTCGTATTTGGTGCCTGAGGGTGAGCTCTCCAGGCCATGCGCCCAGCTGTGTTGCTTGTGCACACTCCTGGTTCTGCACAGGGGCTGTGCACTCCCTGGCAGCAGTGTGGGATCCGAGTGCTGCTGGCTTCGGGATGTCACCAGAGTTGTTGGAGGAGGTGGCCTGCTCCAGCTGTCTCTGTCCCCATGTCTTCTGCTGTAGGAGCTGAGAACACCTTGCTTGTTCCTTTTCAGCAGCAGCACAAATGCCTGATCAAGCCCTCGTACACAAGTCAGCTTGCAGGGGGGCTGTGCTGCTGCTGTCCACCACTCGCTGGCCAAGCAGCAGTCCCAGGACTCAGACAGACAGGGGAACCAAAAGGGCAGCACAGCAGCACAGCTGTACTAAGACACGACCCTGCCTTTCCATTTGCCAGCATCTTCATTCCGACCTTTCCATTGCTGGCACACCTCGCAGCCCAAAGCAGCTCCCTCGGACAGGTGGTTGAAATGCCTCTAACATCTTGTTTCTCCACGTGTGGTTGTGAGGCTTTGTTTGCATGTTTGCTTAGAGCTAACATTAGAAGAGCTTAGAAAGGCAACATCCAAAATAAATCTTTCTGAGTTCATTTACGACACGTGGCAGATTTACATGCATCTATATAATGAGGTGTGGGAGCTTTGCAGCACTTCCCTAGGACGTGTAAGCTCTGCCTCGAAGTGATGGCATCAATAAATAAATGTATGCTCATAAAACTGCATTGACACTCATTGATCCCCTGTTACACCCAAGATTTACATCACAGCCTACTGTGTTTCTATCCTGGTGGTTGTAATTCTTGCACAATTTCCTCCAGTCAGCCGACCACAGTGTTTTCAGTCTTGCTTGAACAAGGGGTGGGAAGGTGGCCCCACTAATGTCAATGGTAACCCCCCTCAATGTTCACCAAGAGAAGATTTTCTCAGCCCTCCTATGCAGCTCCAAATGAGGGGTTTGTGTGTGTGTTTTCAGCAAAGCAGGCTTTTGCATTGCTAAAGAGAGCTGTGTTGCAAAGACAGCACCATGAGACGCTACCACTGGCATTAACGTAACAGGACTCAAAGGCCCCACAGAGGCTTCTAAAGAGGGGCAAAGAGCAAGGGCTGCTGCACCCACGTCTGCAGCACATACGGGTCCAGCCCAGGGCCTGACCACACAGATTTCTCCCTGCTTGTGGCAACAGTGTCTCATCAGGTCACTGCTAAACTGGTTGATTTCAGAGAATACAGCTAAGGCTACTCTGTGATGGTTTCCTGAAAGATCCTACACAGCGGATTTATTTATTGATACTAGCTCTGCAAATGTGTAAGTTCTGTAAACAAATGCAAACCTGTCCTCTGCTACACAGAGAGTAATGCAACCAAGGAGCCATTTCTCTAGCACAGGTTCTTCAGCAGCAACGAATGTGTCTGTTGGTTTCAGCTGTGGTTTTCAGCTTCCCACCAGCTCTGTTGCTGCCTAAAACACTGCCCTGCAAGCAGGACAAGAGATGAAACAAATCTACCTGCAGCTGTTGGTGCTCTAACTGCAGACTTGCATAGACAATAACAAATGAAAGCTGCAGGAAGCCTCTTATGCATCAACACATATCTTATTTATCATTGGGCTATTCCTACATTGTGTCAGTAAGAAGTTGGTCTAAATTACCGAGGAAGTGCAACAGATGGACAATTTTTTATACATTCACTGGGAAGAGAGAAAGAAGGCAGCGCTGAATTAACTGTTAACAGAGAAAGAAAGAAGACAACATCTGTGTCTCCTCCTCACAAGAAATGGCTCTGTCCTGTGGAATATTTCAGGAGTGTATATACTTTTGTCATGTGCTCCACCTTGGTCTATAAAGAGAGAAAAAAAAAAGCAAATGTTCAAGCACAGACTGTGTCTTTGTAGCAGAACCCAGTCCTACAGAGATACTGAGAACATGTGACCAACTCAATGAGTTTATTCCTGCTCTTCATGTGGCTGGATTTCTCTAATATCACTAGAAGAATTCAAAAGTAGGTGACAAATATGGCTTCATATGAACAACTGCAGAGATTTATGTTGCTTAGGTACATTATTTACCTAAATGAGCAAAAAATTGCTTTATGAAAATACAATGGCCATAGATACTCATTGTGTTCCCTGCCTCATCTTGGGATGTCTGTGTGCATTTTAACTGCAGGACCTTGCAAGCCTGACAGAGCAAACGACATTACTGGGAGGAGGTGCCAAATGGCAGCTCCCTGGAACTGCCAACTGTGGAGCCTCAAAATTTTGTAACCAGGACCTTGAGCTTTAGCTACAGAAAGCAGAATTGAGCCTGGAGGCAAATGTGTGTGGAAGTGCACAGGCTCTGTAGTTTGCACCAAACCCTGTCTGAAGAGGTTTACTGCAAGAGGCAGCACAACCCATGGCAGCAAGATGTCAAGGTTTTCCCTCACATACACAGGCAAACAACCATTCATTTTATTTTTACACCATTAATATTAGGTAATAACAAGCAGTCATGAAATACCCATAAACAGATCCTGCTGAGGGATTTTCTTAATGCACAGCCCATGCCCCATGCACACACTTTGTCAGAACAGCCAATATTTGCAAAAGTCCTGGTCTGGCTCCAAAGGAGCGACCTCTGTGAGAAGAGCTGGAGAGGCAGCAGCCCAGGGCCAGGCAGCAGGGCCACAGCCAGGAGCAGCTCAGGGTTCATTGCCTGGTCCGAGCCCATGGTGAACACCAGGTCCAAAGGTGTCCGTCGGGCACTTTTGCACTGAGTCAGATACCTTGCAGGCCCTGCAGTGGTTTCCTCAACAGAACTGAGGCTGAAGGGCTAAACTTTTTGCACCAACAGATTTTTATTCCAGTCTTCAGTAATGAAACCTCATGGCTAAGGGCTTGCTAGCCTCCAGTTTTGAAAGATGTTCTGGAGCTTTTCATAGGTGTGATTGTTGTCCAGAACTGCTAAAAGCAACTGTGTAGACTGCCATGGGTACTTCGGCTAGCTGGGAGATGGAAGGCAGAGCTCACAACAGCAGTCAGTGCTATAAAGGGTTGCCTCAGACTTAGCAGAATAGAGAACATAGGAAGAATATAAATAGAACGAAAATGTCGCTATCAGTAGTACGCAGGGATGATTGCTTAACTGATTATGAAATACCACGACTTCTCAACCTCATGATTTGCTTCATGAAGTCTTAATAAGAGGAAAATTCTGTTTTCAAAAATTAGTTTTGCTGAACATTTTTGTATAATGTGTGGAAAAGGCCAAAAAATATTGACAGGTATCACTGGAGTGAGGCAGAGGACCAAAAAACATTGCAGGAAATAAATACCTGGAAGATGCTGGGATATATATCAGGGCCAGTTTACTTTCAATTTATACCAGCAAATTTAGGGGTTAACTTCAATCAATACTGGCATTAGAATTACAAAAACAGAAAACTAATGGGAGAGAAATTAGATGATTGAAGCTTTTATGCCTGCTTTTCCTGGTGCAGGAAGGTAAAAAGAAAAAAAAAAATAATCAGAAACTAAAATAGACATATGAAATAATTGTATAAATTAAAATCCAGAGAAGATTGGTCAGAAAAATGCTAGACTTAAATGAGCATCTAAACAGCATCAGCTTGTTCCTGTGGATCTCATGCTATTTATTGCATGGTTTGCTAATGAAAGGTGCCAGACTCACTCTTCTTACTGTATAACAACACACCAAGGGGTTCTGGATACAATACAGGATGATGCTAGGGTGTCTCAGAAGCATAGGCAAAGCCAAATAATGCCATCTGGTAGCCAGGTTTTAGTCAGCAAATGCAAAAGCTGGTAGAAGGTTATGACAAGCGCACCAAAGCTTAATAATGCAGAGACATTAATCCTTTCTCCCCATGTGATTACCCCAGCAGAAAGTCTGCACCGACCTGTTCTCTGTAAATGACTCAATATACCGTTTTTTATTTATTTATTGTTGTTTTTAATCTGGGCATGCTTGAACAACAAACACCTAGCATGTTTTCAGCATTGTCCAAATAACAGAAATATCAATGAAATAGAAAGAAAAAATCTACTACTTTGCACCATCTTCCCAAAGTACAACCCTGAATTAGTTTTATGCAAGCAAACTCTTAAGAAAGAAAAGGTATCATCTCTGAGCAGTCTTATCAAGTACAAATATGGCATAAGCAAGTGTGAATTTCTTCATGATGATTTGAGTGTACAGCTCTCTTCTGGTGTCTACAGGAATAACAAAAATTTTACTGAAGTCTTTGCACTCCTACATGCCTGAAGGCAGGTAGAAAGGCAGTAGTACTCGTAGATCCCCACTCCCAAGAGATACTAACCAATCTCATGTCCTTTGCTGTGTCACTCCCAACACTAATGGTTCTTCACTGTGTCAAGATTAGGGTGAAGATAGTTTGTGTTGATGCTTATCCTACTTTGAGGCCATCATCTTGTGCCTGATATAGGATGATCAGGACAGGGTTTCCTTCAAATAGAGCTGCTGGAAAACAAGATTTGTCTGGTGTGGAAATATTACAGAATATTGGCTGCAATAAAAGATCTAAGAACTGTCTTAGTCTAGACGTTTTGTGCCATCCAGGGCTGGCTCTGAGCATATGTTATCTGCACTGCTACACAGAGCCACAGTCCCTTCCTCCTCTCTCTTCAATCCCGTCTTGTTGGCCACATGCCACTTGCCAAGCTGCCCCCTGCTCTCAGCTGCTGTTTGGCTCATTAGCGCTGCCTCCAAGCTGCCTGCCCTGCACAGCCAGGGCAGGGACTAACTCAAGCTGAAAGGCAGGTGATCTCCCAAAGACAGCTCGTCCTCCAGGGATGGAGGGCCTGGTAAGACAGCCTGTATTTTAGGAATGTTAAAAGCCTGTTTTAATCTGTACCGGGAATGAAGGAAACAAGCAAACAAACAAACAAAAAACATGAAACACCATGCTGAGGGTTAAGGTTTTGTTGTCTATTAATAAGCAGATAAAATGCAGAGTTTTTAGATAGAAACCTAAGTCCATGGTGGTTGGCTCTGACACCAGATGTGATCTGATTCAGGGAGAGCTCTACCAGGGAAGATGCCTCCGTATTGTTCTCCATCATGAGCTGCAAGACCACCACCACTGATGGCTGCTGGAGAAGGAGGCTGAGCTCTCAAGGTAAGAAGTGTATTCCAAGATTTGCCCTCCTGGAGTACCCAGGAGTACTCAAGAAACACTCATCCCTAGCAATGCTGCCATCTGCTACTCTTTTTTTTAAGATCATACCGTCTTTGCTGTAATGATCTCTTTGGTAGATGTCAAGGCATCTAAGATGGTGGACAGGTTGTGAGATCAAGCAATGGAAAGCCAGGAGATGGATGAGGAATTGTTCACCATACAGAGGTTATTCCTTCCTATGGCAAACTTACCTACCCTCATCTCTACAGAAAGCACAAGCCTTAACAATAAATAAAAACTATACACAGTACCCACAAAGCAATGAAAATAGGTTATGCTTATGCCAATAATGACAGATGTACTAGGATAGCCATGTATTCATTATGAGTCCCCTCTGGCCCGCTAGATAACGCCCTTAGGAATATCAGTAATTAATGGTAAGAACAGAGCTGAATACTTCCTACTGACAAAATAGCATTTTGACCTAGGTTCTGATTTTTAATAAAGGAAATGCTGAGGCACCTGCCTGCCCATATACTCGACTCGGGCACATGTAGTAGGTAGAGCAAGGCAGGCAGGCGCCCACCCCAAGGACTCTGGGTCCCCTTTCGGCATGTGGCCCATGGCTGTGAGCTTGCCCTGTGCCTTGGCTGCTCACCCTGAGGGCTCAGAGCACTTGGCAGAGGTCAGGGCAGGCACTGCTCTGCTAGCTGGGCCCACACTTTGCCCATGGGAAGGTTTATCAGCCTGCCCTGAAACTCTATGTGCTGAGGTAAGACACTGGGAAAAGGGAGCTCCATATGAAACAATTTTGTTCATAATTTGCCCTTTCAGCCAGCAGCAAAGTGAGCCAATGTCCATGTCCTTGTGCTTATTGATGCAATCCTCATGGTTAGACGAGCTCAAAATAATGTCTTTTCTGCATCAGTCTGCCAAGCTTGTTTAAAGCAATGAGTACCCCTAGAACTTTTTGTAGGTCATGGTTGTTGCTGGTTGACAGTCACTTGAAATGAGAACATCCTCAGTGTTTTTCATTGTGGGTAAAGTTTTGTAGAGAAGTGGCCGGGTGAGTCCAGTTTTGGACCTCACAACACAGCTAAAACACCATTTGTCTTTGGGTTAGCCACCCCAGTTACCATTAAAGGCCAAAGGAAGAAAAGCAGTGAGATGAAGGCTGATTAATAGCTCAGAGGCTGAAAGCAGAGAAGTAGGAAGCAGGCTTTGGTTTGAAAAAGACTTGGTCAGACTTCAAGTGGTGATACCGTAGTGTTAGATTTGGAAAGCAGGCAATGTTGAAAAGAAAATGAACAGAAACCTCCCTTGGGAAGCATACATTATTTGATTCTTCTGGCATTTATTTTAATAACCTGTAAATACAAAGAAGCTCATCTTGGAGTGTCTTAAGGTGTTCAGTAGGAGTTGTGTTCCAGAGGAACTTTTCTGAGGCACAGAGAGAGATGTTGAATGCAGCTATCATTTGTGTCATGGAAGAAGTGGTGTGATATTTCTAGCCAGACTACATACATACCTCCATAGCAGGGAAGGGCTGCTGGGCATGCCATGTGAACCTAAGTCTGTAATCTTCTGTTGGAATAGTGGTGCGTCTCCTCTGTGGGTACTCTCCTTGACATGCATTTTTCAGTCCTTCTAGAACCATATACATGTATGCAAATCCGCTCAGCTGGCATGTTCTTCCTCTTCGTGTTCACAGCCGGAGTGCTCCGGCAATGGCCTGTTTGTCGGCAAGCTGAGCTCTGTGGTGTAAACCCCTATAGATTCACGAAGATAAGTATGACCTTCACCCTTCTGTGTTCCCATTAGGTCTCCTTCCAGATTGCCTGGTCCTTTTATGCCTGTTTCTTCTGACTGTCTTAAACAAGTGTGACAGAGACTCCTGACATCTCTGCCTGGTGCCGTGGTGATGTGTTGCTCTCAAAACACTGAAACAGAAGTGGGATGGATGAGGTGCCTTCAACTCAGCAGAAACTCTGGAGCCCTCCAGGAAATATTTCAGTGAAGCCGAGGTGATGGGTGGAAAGAAAAGACAGGGCTGGAGAGGGAACAAAGACAATTTTTTGTTATTTTAAACGTTATCTACTTTTCTTGATTCATATTGGGAATTTGGGTGGGAAGCACAGCTGGGAGGACAGAGGGAGAGGCTTATTTTTATTATGAAAATATGTACTAATTGTAGCTCAAAGCAGAGAAGGAGGGTGGGACTGCACATGATGGAGAAGCCACCTGCAGCAGATATGGGAGAGGAAGAGAAAAAGGGCAAAAGGATACTACATTTTTCATATTTGTCAATTGAACGTATACCTATTTCTCCTCTAGTGGCTGTACACCAGCTTTCCAGGCAGCCTCAGAGCATGGACGGTAACTGAGAAACAGCTCTGCTCCTGGCAATAGCTTTTATGACGTGGTTCTAGCACCTTGTGTTTAGACTTGTGTGAACAATTGATTTGGGGTGGAATTAAATGTTTAAGTTGACCCCAAACTGACATTTGCTTTCACTCAGTCATCTAAAAAACATATTCTTTCCCTTCCAGGCATCAATTTGTATTATGTTTGTGTTTGTTTAAATATGAATACTGGAAATTAGAGCAGGCATGATTTATACATGCAAGAAATTGGAAAAAGTTCCCTTCTTTCCCAGCAGTGAAAAAAAAACAAAAATGTCCAGATCACTCACCCATGCTGTAAGAGAACTTCATCTGAGCCTTTTACTTTCAGAGAAACTTTTAACCCTGAGCCTATGTGTGATTCGGAGCTGCAGGCCCTATGGTCAGGACTCTGTCAGATGACCGACTATTGGTGTTTATGCTGATAAGGAGACAGGCACATAGCTGCTCCACACCCTGGGTAAGTGTCCAAATGCTTTTTTTCTCAGTGGCTGCTGTAGAGCTCCATCCAAAATTGAATAGCTTTATCAGAAGAGACCCATATCATAGTGTTAATTAACCTCAAACTATTGAGCAGAGATAGTTCAGACAGCAACTCACAGAGCATTATTTGAATTAATAAACTAATTGTTGCTGGTATGAGGTTTGGTTTTGTTTTGTTTTGTTTTGTTTTGTTTTGAGCCTAACTTCATTTTTATTAATACCTAGATTTAAATATGCATCACTATCACATTAACTGGGGACCTCATTGGCAACCTTGCTGAGGTGTACTTGAGGGCTTCTACCACGAGTGCCAGAGATCCATCTTGTTCTGCAGTGAACAATGTAAACTCCAATGGGCCCAATACCTCTTCTGAAATAGATCTACTCCTTCCAATTACTATTCTAGTTTCAATTTAACTGAAACAATTCAGCCCAGCTCCTGTAGGACTGGCTGCTGGGCCAGTGATCCTCAAGAGGCTGTTTTGGGTTGTGTTTCTTTGAAGTCATGCGGGCAGCTAAAAAAGCAGGAGGGCTCCTAATTCCCATTGACTACCTTCTGCCTTCACCTTTGATAATTCCTGCTGCACTCCTAACTACACGTTTAGGCATCTAATGCCTTTGAAATCTACTCCTGCAACATTTCACCCTTTATGCAGCGAAGTGCACTATTTTATGCCTGGTTGAATGAGAAAAAGGCATGTCAAGGAGCGGATGAAAAGCATAATTCAGGTTGCTACTCACTCAGTTTAAGATCTAAAGATTTTTGGTGAGGGAGGAAAGAAGGGAAGAAAAAAAAAATGAGGGACATACTGATACCCTTTGAGTCCCTGGCCAAGTTTTAACTACTCTCCCATTCAAACAAATTCTCATTGTGTGGAGCTTTATGTAAATTACCATTAACCACAACATGACTGCTCTATTCTGCTTATCCAGTAAGCACACTTAACAGCTTCTGTCAACGCACATTACTTGCCTATGTCTACTGAGATAATTTCAGAATGAAAAATACTATGTAAAAATCAAACTTTTGTGCAGCTCTTCTGTCACTGCTTACTGTGAAAGCACAGTAAGCAGTTAGATGTATCTCAGGTTAATACATGAAGTCTCAAAGTCAAAACTCTTATTTTGGGCATCAGGAAATGTTCTGCTAATTTTTCTGTTCTTCACTTCCAAAAGTTAGCCAGGAGGTGCCCTTGAGAAGTGCTTTACATTGTCTTCATTGAGTTCGACAGTAAAAAAAAAGTTCCAAAGGGACCATGCATGAAGCAATATAGAGGGTGAGTCAATTAGAAAATCATCCATGTCATGTGATGCAGGAAGTTCTGTGGCTGGTATAAATACTACAGTTTTCCCATAAATAGAAGTGAGGAAATTGTTGCTCTAAAACTTGAATGTGTAGCTAATTTGAGCCTGATTTCACAGAGGGTTGTTGAGGAGTTCCTATTTGTTACTATCTGGTGATTAAGCATAGCTTGTGCATCTGAACCTCTTTGTCTATTCATTCTGCTTTTAGACTCATAGCAGCAGATGCCATACCAATTCACTACAAAGATGATTCAAGCAGAGATTTCTTTCTATTTTGGGGATTTGCAAAGACTTCCTCAGCCTTCATAATTCTGTTCATTAATTCCTTGACAGCTGTCATAAATCTTGCATTTTGATAACTCACCCATTAGCCCAGAGAAGCAATGTGCAACCCTTGGAAAAGCTCAGGACCTGTCCTTTGTATAGCACAGAGAAAGTAACAAAATATCTGGCTTCTTCCTTGAAATTTGAGATTAATACCTCTACAGTACACATTGGTTTTCACTGCCCAGAAAAAAAGGTTGATTCTTGGATTTCCTAAGCCTAATTCTTTTTTTCAGTTAGGCTGCATTTTACACTGGTGTACTTTCATTTAACTTAATGAGATTTACAGTTTTCCAATGAATAGAGAATCATTAATCACACATTGTAGCTTCAAACAAAATCCACAGACATTTTTCTTGTTTTAAAGAAAATCCCTCCCGCCTCCTCCAAAGTCCCACATTTCACAAAGGTTTCCCACTACTTGGAGACTAATCAGTGACTGGAAATTTGTGTCTCCAAAGGCCATGGACTCAAGAAAATAAATAATTAGATCGCCACCAGCTGTCTAAATTACAAGTGATGTCACTGTTGAGATTTGTGTTTCCCCACAAAGGACATAACCAATATTCAGGAAAGAATTTTTCATAAGTACCAAATTATTTGGCATATTAAATAAGAATTTTTAGTCAAGAAAACACGCATACAAAAATATTTTCTAACAACAATAAACGTTAAAAGTTTGATTTTTTTGGTGTGTAATCTGTAGGAGACATACAGAAATATGCAGAATTTTATTTAATTGATTTTTAACTAATGCATGCATGATGAGAACGTGGTTAACTGGAAATATTAATATCATCAGTAAAGGACAGACATTTTAGAATACTCAAAAGGAAGTGCGTACCTATTTGTCTAATACTTTGCAATTTCAACTGAAAAACTGTACAATCTATTCTGGGAATCTTGATATTACCACAAACATGTTTTTCCTAGTGTCTGTTTAGAGAGAAAACAAAAATACAGTTCTGTAAGTCCTTCCATCCCAGAAACTCCTCCTAAATCTTGAAGTCAGGGTCCAAAAGGACAGATTTTAAAAGGACACACAGTGGGCAAGGCCTTCGCTATGAAGCTACAAATGAGCAGGTTATTTGCAAGTTACCAGATACATGCTATCATCAGTTTTTCCATCCACCGTGACCAGGAACGTACTTTGACTGGGACACTTCAGGTCTGGGCCACAGCCCGTTACCCATTCTACTGGTCATGTATGTAGCTAAATGATTGCTATTAACCATGAGGAAGCTTAGAATGAAACTATATGATGTGTTATTTTCCATAATGAGTTGAGGATGGTGTTTGAGGTTTCCAAAACAGGTGTCAAGTGATGTTTATGAATACACATTGCTCTGATCCACTTGGACATCCAAGCCCTGATAATAGATGTCTGTCTGTTACTCTTTCCTTTCAGGTCAAATAGAAGTACTGCTGGAAAGATGAGGGTACAGCCTCTTTTCTCAATAAAAATCATACACCCCCCCCCCCCCCCCCCCCCCTTCCTAACTCTTTCTGCCTGTTATAGATTTTATAATCAACAAGATAATGACAGCTGCATCTTTCTGTTTCTCAAAGGCATGAAGCTAACACTACTCAGAAAGACAAACAGACAGGGTGGAAGGGAGGTGGGAAGGGAGTGAGCCTACTTGGTTGAAGAAAACGAGCAGTGTAAAAGCTTCCTGAACACATTCAGTGAAAATATAATTACTAAAACAGCCTGAAAGGAGGGAGTTAAATTACTGAGTGTGGCTGTGATCATTTTCCTAGTTTAAATTACTCTGGTATAAATGAAATGAAACAGGACTTGGACTCTTCTAATTAACCACCTTACCCACAGGTGATCACAATATGTGCCATGTAAGATCCCTGCAAAAGCAAAATTTATATACCTAGAAATGACAAGTGTGCATATTAAAACATTTTTGCAGTTTACAAGAGAAGTGAAGTCCTTTGATAGCTAACAAGGAAAATTATAGGTGGGGGGATGGTATGGAGGAAATTCTGCATACATTTAGTTATAATGATTTAGACAACATTTCCCTTGAATTAGTTCATTTTAAAAGAGAACAAAGGGTTTGTCCTGCTGGGTAGCTTTTCAGCAGGGATGCCCTGCCTGCCTTATTTCAGAACTGCAACATTATGTGGTTTCAATTAGTGGTAGCACTTGCAAAACTAGTAACACAGACATTTTGGCATGAAATCTGACTCCAAGGCGGTGAAGGGTACTTAACATCTACTCAGGGATGGGTGGAGAAATACAGTATATTTGAAACAGTGTTGATCATTTGTCATAATGGTGTCATTTCTGAAAACCTCACCATATTTTTGTAGGCTTGGCTTTTCAATTACATCTTTGCTTCCCTGTTTGGAATTTGCTTTCCACTTATCTAGCATCCCTATTTCCTGTCTCTTTTGTCACCTGGCTACTTACTAGGCCCTCAGCTAAGTTTTTCTTCAGGCTTTTAGGGCTACCAAGTGCTAAGAAGGCTCAAAATGCTATAGGACTTAAAATGCTTAACACTTTCAGCCTTCATCTTTGAAGTCCTTTGCAAATACTTGTTGCAATAGGAACAATCCTGTATTGTCAGGGATGGACTGGTTTAATAGTCCTCCCAGCCCTCCCTTAATGTTCTGGAGCAATTTCTAAAATGTCCTTTTGAGGCAACTGTTAATTCCTTTAATTTTGCAGTCAGGAAAGCTGACTTCTGTTGCTATTCCACATCAATGTAAGTGCCTCTTGTAATACATCTGTTGGCAGAAAAAGAGCCTGTGCATGACTCAACGAAGTTTCCCACTCCTACTTATCCTAGATTTCTTGATAGACAGGTGACATTTTGATGAGCAAAATAACAAAAGCCACTGCTGTGGTGATAGACATATACAATATTCCAAATATCCACTGAAAGAAATCTTTAATACAGGAATGAAAGAGGCAACTGCTTGACAAGATTTGAACATGTGTAACTACAATATTTTTAGCAATAAAGTCAATAATTTGTCTCACTATAACATCTATCATGGTGCTAAAGTAGTTTTTACTAAGACTGTCTTGTATGCTATGCTAGTATGGCGATTGTCAATGAACATAGCCTCGTTGAAAGAAGACTACAGCACAGATGGGAGAACATTTTTTTTTCAAGATTTGCATTCCTAATTTCCACTGAAGGACTTCAATTTGTTTGGGTAGTGCTCAAGGCTGTAGATCAAAAAGGACACTGATGATTTTCACTTTGTATTTGATTTTCTAGCCTAACTTTGGTAGTAGAGAGTATAAAAAGCCTTGCTTTAAAATCATGCATATTTGGCTATGTTTCATTTTGATACTTGTGGTTGCTCCCAAGCTGAAACATAATTTAGTATTCAACTAAGTTCAACAGAATGTAATGGCACTGCACAAAGCTGTTTCAGGGTTCAGCCTGGACATCAGGAAAATTTCTTTACCCTGAGGGTGGTCAAACACCACAACAGGCTTCCTAGAAAGGCAGTTGATAGCCCATGCCTGTCATGTGCAAGAAACATTTGGATAATGCCCTCAATAACATGCTTTAACTTCTGGTCAGCCCTGCAGTGGCGAGGCAGTTGGACTGGGTGATCTTTGTAGGTCCCTTCCAACTACTCTGTCTGTTCTGTTCTGTTCAGCTGCTGAGTTACTCACTTGTCTGGTTAACAGCATTTACTTTTATCAGTGTCTACCTCAACCACACTTGCACAGTTGTCTAGTCTCACTCGTGCTTGCACTAGGAAGCAGCAACTATTCCTGGTCTATGTAACAGAAATGTTTGGAGGATATAAAAGAGGAGTTGGGGCTCTCTGATCAGACTCATGTGAAGTGTAGTTCAATTATTTAGAGCTAGAACACCAAATTTACCCCACACTTCTTCAAAGGCTCTGTAATAAGAGAGTCTTATTTAGGTAACACTCTTTCTTTGTACACGACAGGTAATCCACGATGATCCACAATCATAAAAGTAGGCGTTTCCCTATTTCATTGAAACTGCATAACAGCTTTATTGCAATTCTAGGAATAACGATGATCACATTTCACTGACTTACAAATAGGTTTAATGCACTATGCCATTTGCCACCATCTTGACAGGCTTTTTTTTTTTTTTTTTTTTTGGTGTGTGTGTGGGGGGGATCAATACATGTATTAATGCTAATAAAACACTTACAGAGTTTCCCAGATGTAGACATGGCCCCTTAATCCTTCCCTGTTCTGCCGGGGATAATCATTTTTACAACATGAGATCACTTGCACCAGTGAAGTGCATTTTAACACCTTTTGCTGTTATCTGTGTGAAGTGAGGCTCCTAATAGAATCCCAGCAGTGCATTTAAACTTTATTTCCTAGGTTAATCAGGCTAAAAGACAGTTAACTAAGTTTCCCAAAAGGGGCCTTCTTTACATTAAAAAAAAAAAAAAAAAAAAAAAGATGCTGCTGGAAATGTTCATCACCAGAAATTTGATTTGCTCATTGAGAAAATAAAGGCAGCAACACCAAGAAAAGAAAGGGTGTTTTTCTCTTATAGTGGACAGCATAGCGCACACACACACACAAAGGAAAAAAAAAGAGAGAAATATTTTCTGAACAAAGAAGTCAGGCCAGTTCCTTTCTTTTTTTGATCTTTAATCCCTTCTCTCCCAAGTAGAATGGCAAAGGAGCCCTCTCTCTTTCTAATAAATAGCTAGCAAAGGCAGGCATTCAATGCTATGTCCCTTTGATCAGCACAAAGCTGTCAGCTCCTGCCGCTTTTTTTTCTACCAGCTCTTGTTCCTGGTTAAAAGTGGAAGTAATACCCCCTGAAAGAAATACCCTAGGTGTCCTGCAAATCATCAATCCTATTTTTTTCCTTGTTGTTTTTCTGTGGCCCACCCTCCTGGCTTGAACAACCTCCTTACTAACACCCCTCTTCCTCTTTCCACCCTTTCTCCTGAATACCACTTTCATTTGATACGCAATTCAGTGTGCCAGTCTGACCTACTGGGACCTTGCTGTCTGAGACTCTACCACTGTGCAGACAGGGGAAACCTTCTCTCTACCAATAAACAATGTTTACCTTCATGCATTTATCTTCCTGTAAAGGAATATAAAAATAGTCCCCAGACATAGCAAAGGGATTTTTGGAAATTAGCTCTTAATAATTTATAATAAAGCTCTAGCTTTAAAATAATAATAATGAGAAAAAAGAAAACATTTCAGGTTGTGCTTGACCGAGCCTCTGAGATCCCGTTTTGCTCCAATCTTCAGGCTGCTGCATTTCAGACCACATCATTGCATCTCAGCAGTAAACAGTTTGCAAATGCTTCTGCTTTCTGACAGGTCACTCGGCGCATTTTAAAGCAGCCTCCTTGTTTACTGCTGAGATTAGCTGCAATCTGCATTTCTGCTCATCACGATATCAGGACCTGGTATACAGTTTGCAAATATTATGCAGAGGAAATAATTCACAAAGGAAAACAATTACAATCAAGCGTAGAACATGAGCCTGGCTCACAATGGGAGAGCAGGGCAGAGGCTTTGGTGTCTGTGTGTGTATGTGAAAGGGTTGTAGGGGGGAGGAGTGGGGAGTAAGGAAAAGAGTCTGTGTAACAGATCAGTATTCTGAGACAATGTCACATCCTTGGTGACCTGTAATGATGTTTAAATACCTTTGCCATTTTCCCCCAGTGATTACTGCGCTGGGTGCTCTCTGTGTGCCTATAGAGATATGTTTTTCAAAACTCAGGATGGAGTGAATGCCGCTCGTTGTTCTGGCTGCAAAATGTCAAACTGCAGTGGAAAGAAATACAGCATTGCAGTGGTGGTGCACTGAGGCCCCCGGTAGGAAAGCAGGAGCTATTAAGTGGAAAATTCCTGCAGAGGACGTGTTTCCATTTCTAATGCGAAGAAAGAGGGTGTTGTTTGAGGCTGGCAGGTCTGTGGAAAATACAGAAAACACAGGGAAGATGAGAAAATGACCTCATTGAACTCTGAGAACTTAAGCAAACAAACAGCTTCGGCCAACATACCACATTCTTGCGGCACTTCTGCCCAAACAACAAATTGACCTATAAGTTATATAATCACCCACAAGCCCCTGTGCCCCGTGTAAATGTGGGGAGGGGGAAAGGGGTTTCATTGAAAGGAGAGGGAGGGGAGGGAAAGCAGTAAACCTGCTCCCGTAGGAAAAAATGCTTGGGGGTGAGCTGCCCGTACCCCCCTTCCCACCACCTCCCCACCCCAAATGCTGTACTCACATGAGGTTCAGGTTTAATTGCACTCCGAATACCAGCAGAGTGATGGCACTGGTTGTTTATTATAGTATGAATTATTTCAGTACAGCATAAATTTTCCATTTCAAAGGATCCCGAATGCCTGCAGGGAAGGGACTAGGTTTTGTGAGCAGAGGGTGGCCTCTGTAAAAGTTGGTGGGGATTTCTTCCGAGCGGTGGTTAAAGCTGCATTCTTTGAACCTGGTTAGGGGGGCTCTGCGGAGCATGTTTAGGGGCTGTGTTTTCCCCTGCAGAGGCCCCCTGTAGTGATGGCTCGGAATGCCTGAGCTACCATTTTATGTCAACCGAACAAATCCTAGTGTAAAAATGCAGAGGCTAACCAAAGGCCGTGGGCTCGGTTGTTGTTGTTGCTCTACATAGCTGCAGAAAAGGAGGATGTATATCCCCGTCCCCAACAGCTGAGTGTGCTGAAAGGTTTGATTCATTGTATTTCCAATAACTAATTAATTGAACATAACAGAAAGTAAGTTATTAATTGGCAGAACAGCAGATAAACCATAATTCTTAGTTTACAGTAAGATTACTTACAAATCAGAAAAGGGCTTTTCTCTTAACCAATGCTCACTTTCCTGTAGAAACATATTCTCTGCTACTGTGTTAACAGCAATGTGTGCTCTCAATGTTTATTTTTTTTTCTTGTTTACGCTGTTAAAATCCTGTTGTCTCCCAGTTGCAGATGATTTAATGCATAGCCAAAATGCGATCTGCCATCCTGCATTTGGTGTGGACTTGGTCTGTGATAAACATGTTAGTTTGAAAGGTCCTTGCAACTTTAAATGCTGCATGATACTTTACGGAGAAGCATAAACATAAGCAGATAAAGTGTTTGATCTTGAAGGTGAGGCGTTAAAGCATATGCATAGGAACAAGAAAGATTCAAATACTGCCAGCAAAGAAAAAGCAGCTGACACAAGTCATAAAATGCAGATGCACTTTCAAATTTCATGTATGCTGCTATTTTGATCCAGTGGTTTGATCCATTCTGTTGTTAGATTAGGGACCACCAGCTCTGAATGTACTGAGGTGTAATTCAGAAAACTCCTGCAGCTGTAAGGAGCTGACTAGATTCAATGCTCATCTTCCCTCACTAACACATTTTAGAGGAAGATAAAGTGAATTAAAGATGGGTCCTGAGAACACAGTGAGGTCACCCCAAACTTGAGCCAAAAATGCAAACCTTTCCTCTTACAGGTTCTGCAAAGTGTGATTAAATTATTGTTTGTTTGTTTGTTTTCTTTCCGATTTGACATCTCACTGAGTATCTGGAGCACAAAGGGAAAATGACGGAATTGCGTACTACAGAAAGACAAACAAAACAAAACTGTACATGCAAAACTTCCAGCATTATTTTGCAGGCATACATCAGGTTGTTTTGACAAAGATTAAGAAAAGTGGGGGATGTTTGGGGCACACAGCTAAACCAAACTGAAGCTCTCTCGTGGCAGCTGAGTATCGCTTTTCTAGGCTACAGATGACACCTTTTTCAGGTATGGAGAAGACACTGTTGTACTGTTACAAATGGGAAATAATTGTATTCTGTGGTGCTCAGATCTGAAATCAAATTTGCCCAGAATCCAACTCTCTTTCAGTTTAACCCTGAACGCCTGCATCCTCTGCAGCACAATGGTCAAAAGACATTCAAGAGCTCCACAGTGTTGTATTATTCCCTTTCTGGGAATGTTTAACCAGGGCAAACCATATAGTGCAGCATTTCTGCACGATGCCATGGATTCTGTTTCTCTTTTCCTTGTGCTGTGTAACTAAGGGGCACTGTAAGGGGCGCATAACTTACAGACGAGAACAGCTTTCTCCTCCACACTCTGACAGGAAATAAAAAGCTCCCAAAAAACTCAAGAGAAAAACAAACTTTGTGAATGACAAATAGAAGCATTGCCAAAACAAAAGAGTTTCCTGCATCTAATAAAAGGAAAAAGGCAGGTTTTTGCTCATCCAATACCTTGTGGCTGCTAATGGCAATAAACAAAAAAAACATAAGGCGCGCCCCATGCACTGTTAGGGCTCTGGAGTTTAGCACCCATTGCAGGATTAACTCTTCTGAGTGCAGAGCTTTGGTTACAGTTTCCCTCCACATTTTAGAGGTTGCCTTTTACATAGGAGACTGAGCTCATATCAGAGTTTTTGTTGTGAATTCAGTTTAGAAGACTTTAGCTATCTAAGGAAACTGATAAAGGACTATTTTAAACAAAAACGCAGATAAATCTGAGCGATGAAGTACAAACCTGAGCCAAGCAGAGTGCAGGCAAGCCATGTTTGGCTCCTGCCAACTGCACCTCAGTCCAGCCTTAAGCTGTGCTTTCAGAAGTGTGCAGAAACGCCTGGTCAAAATAAACCATGTGGAGGCTTCGTGAAGCACAAATGTAGGTAAGAAAATAAATAAATAAATAAATAAATACGAATGTTTATTGAAATCCCCTTTTTTGCCTCACAGCATCAAAAGACATGGAGTAAAAGAGACACAGAAACAATGGATCAGGATCTGGCCTTTATTTCTTTGTTCTATTTCAAACCATCATGCTCATCAGGAAGTCTCACGCAAATGATGCCAACACTGAGGCTGGGAAACGTGAGCTGTCAGAATGCCCAAGGTAGCTGCAGCACTGCCAGCTTGTTCTGACCAGAGCGGACATAGGGCCCTTGGCCTCTGACCAGAATTCTCGCCCCTGGATTTTACTATCACTGATCACATGGGTCTGTTTTTCTGCTTTTTATGAATGTTAGAACTTGAAGGATGTTTTGAGAACATGGATCTGTGAAAGACACAAGTGTGAATCAGTCTTCCTCCTTGTTCTGCAGTTCAGATGACACCCAGCTTAGACAACTGGAGGGTGAAGGGACCCCAGGATATACTGAAAGATACTGGTTTTATCTGGATGCAGAAAGAAAGCCTGTTGGTCAACGGTTTTATACTGAGGCAGTACTAAAAATTTATTTTTTTTTTTAAATAATAAAAATGTCACAGTAGGATGTATATACACAGAACTTCTATTCCATTTGTAATCTGCCTCAGCACTGACAAGACAGACTTTAATTCTGTCTCAGGAGCCACAGCTCAAAATGCAGGTCCTGCTTAGGAGCCATAGAAGGCAGTAAGAGTCATCAGGGGTGTTTAAGGAATGGTTGGACTTGGTACTTAGGGACATGGTTTAGTGGGTGATAGTGGTGGTAGAGGGATGGTTGGACCAGATCATCTTGGAGGGCTTTTCCAATCTTAATGATTCTATGATTCTGTTTTATGATCAGCTGTTTAAAAAACATGGTTTGGAAGAGCATTGCTCAGCCTACGGAAGGAGAAAGACAGGGCTTTTAAATGGCAGCTGCAAAGCAGGAAATAGTCTTTGTTTTCCATGTCCATTGGAATGAGAAATGGCTCAACTTATGTTAAGATTTATCTAGGACAGTATGAAAAATCTTATGTTGAGTCACACAGGGAAGTCCAAATAGAGAACTAAAAGCATTTCCCTGAATGCAGATGCTACTGCATACCAGACGAAATACATAAACCAAAGTGTGGATCAGTTTCTGCTTTGAAAAAGGTCTGATTCAACCAGGGGTTTCGTGCCACTCAGCTAGGTTTGGCTCAGCTAGATGCTGCTGGCCTTTCATGAAAAAGCATGGTGGCAGCTGAGGACCAATATTTGAGAGTGATGATACAGTGGAAGGTTTTGGAAAAGTGTTTGGACCCTGTGATTTTTCCCAGTTTCCTGAAGGACCCAAGTCACAGTAGAACTCTACAGATATATAGATTCAGATATAGATGTTTCGTACAGTTATTGATTTGGCAATGAGGGGAGTTTGATTAGATTGTCTGCAGACAGAGCTGTTGGCAGTGCATGAGACTAACCATTAAAATGGAAAAAAGACAAAAATTTGCTTCCTCTGTTGAAAATCATTTTCAATATAACTTCCTCCAAATATATACCAGTGAACCTAAGTTACACTTGAGGTAAGACAATATAAATACTAATGACCTGTGTCAAGATCAATCGATTAACCTCATGATTTCTCTTACCTAAGTCCTAAGGAGTGTTCCTTGGAGATCATTAATTTCTATAATGTGCATTACTAAAAGAAGTCCATGGTGTCCAGGGAGAGGCATTAAGAGAGGCTTTTAATATTCTTCATTTTCTGCTTTAGATTGTGATTCACATAGCTAATGAGTATGATCCATCCAGAATGGTGGGAATGTTACCTAGTGCCACTAGCTAACAAGTATTTGGTCTGATTCAGCCACGTGAGCCCCCCACCACATAGAAGCTAATTGCAAGGATTAGAGCACACCGAGACACTCAAGCTCCACTCCTGTGGGTTTGGGGAGGAACAACACATTTAAACATTCCAGCTACAGTTCCCTTGGCAACGTACATAACAACAACTCACTAAAACTATGGGTTTCTGTTTTCTTAACCCTTGAGAACATTGACTGAATGAATACTTCCTTGAGGAAACAGTTCAGTCAAACAGATATACTTAAACACTCTTAAATCCACCAGTTCTTTTCTCCTTAAAAAAACAACAGCAGTTGAATTCCATGTCAAACTGATCTCCTCCCCTAGCATTAAAGGGTTTAATTCAAACAAATGTGCATACCATTAGCAAACCCTCCACAGAAGTCTGTGTGAAAAGAAGACTGTAAAAAAAAAATCCCCAAACATCAATGTTTAAGACCATTATAAAGTTTCTAGAGATCAGAGCACACAAGGAAAAATACAAAATGAATTTTATAAAGCACATAAACACTCTTAAGAGAAGAAACAAAACAATATTAGCATTTATGTAGAGAATAGAATACAATCTTTTTCCTGTCAATTATAGCAATCACAATGTCCATAGCAACTTTGTAATGATTCCTCTGAGAATGTAAAATATTCCATAAATATTAACTAATGTGACCAAATAATATTTACACCATCTGTGTGAAATATATGAGATCTGCCTGAGAGTTTATTCTGCTGCCCAGTGAACTAGAGTCTCTTGTGATGGTATTGCCCCTTAGCAGGCACTGTTCCTATCACACAAAGGTTTGGAAGAGGAACCTCCAGCTAAATGCATATGTAGGGTATTGGAAGCCACCAGACCTCGTGTGAACCTCACGAAGAGCTGCTGTAGTTGTCATTAGCAGGCAAAATTAACGAACACACTTACAAGGCTTCAGTTCTTATGCTTGCAGGCACCAGTGGTATGCTGCAGTTTATTTAAGACAACGCTCTGACTCCTGTTGTCTTCCATCAGTAGTTTATGCGTATGAAAGAATTAAAGAGTGACATCTTCTGTAGCACATTAGCCTGGGGTAGGTGGTAGTGGGCTGTCATGAAAAGGGGTTTAGCAGTTGTATGAAGAGAGCCTATCTTGCTTCCTCAGGCTATAAGTCACTTGATATGGCTCATAGGAGAGCAAGAGAAACCACCAGCACCCATGTTAAACATACGACTAGTGCTGTACTACCAATGCACTGATGCACACTTGCACAAAGGAAGAGTTGAAGGTTGCAAAACTAAATAATAGCTCAAACAGATGTCAGTGCAGTCTAAAGCAATTACCTTTCATAACTCATGTTTTCTCCCTTCATAAGCTTTAATTTTGTTTTTCTCAAAAGGAGCCTGTGTGACCTTCCCTTACATATGTCCATCCCATGACGGTGAAGACTATTGCTGTATTTTGTAGCTTCAAGCAGATACAAGAAAGAGTAAGTACACTTACCAATTTTTTTTAAAGCCCTTTAGCCTTAAACATCTGAGGCTCCATCACTACCCCATTCTCTCCATCCATGGAGAGTGCTCACCTGTTCCTCTGCAGCAGCTCCTACGTAAATCACTGGGAGGCAGAGACCACTCCCCTCCTCCACCCTCAGGCTTAGCACACAACAGTTTGCTAAAGATTATGCAGCATCCTTGCTAGTGCATGGTTGCCAGGGCATCCTTGTTCCCTAGCCAACTACTGTACTAAGGCTTCACTGGCAGCCATCCAGCTGTGCTTCATTGGGAACCTCTGCAGCAGTAAAGGGTGTGTTTTCCCAATTTACTGGAGAAGTCAGTCAGTTTGTTTCTTTTCTCCTAAAGACCCTAAGTATTTGGGCAAGCAGAAACTTTTCACAAAGGACTGTAAGACAGGGAACCTCTCTTTTCCCTTTTCCCTACAAATAAGAGTTTAAGTCTTGCTAGAGATAGCTTGGGTTTTGCACTAAACCAGCCAGTGTGGATCATATCATATCATATCAGTGTGGCATCATGCCAAGGCCAACACAGGCACAGCGCCACACCGAGATGGTGATACCTTCACAGTGGAGCTGGGAACTGTTTGGCTTTGTTCTGTGTGGTGTGGAGGCATTGTCTTGGTTGGGAGGAGCCAGGGTGCCTTAAGCATGTTCTGCTGTTTATAAATACCCCATTATTCTCAAGATTTTACAGCATTACTGCAACACAAATTCCAGCTAACACTGCGTTTAATATCAAGTTTTCTTAGGCCAACTGCATGTAAGATGGAAGGAGCATGATGACATTAGATAGATAAAAAATAAAAATAAAAAACGTCTCATGCAATTTCAATGTGGTGGTGACATCCAAACAGTTATTATGCCAGGACCAATTCCAGGCTAAAATTCTGCTCAGTGGCTTGAATAGCCTTCAGTTACAGAAACTGACGGCAGGATCACGGGTGCCAGCAGCAGCTGCAAACTGTTGCCATTGCAATAGCACGTGTGCCTGAGAGAGCTCAAGGCCAGTGCATGGACTGAACAGACAGAGGAAGGGTCACAGCAAGAGGACAGCTTGACAGGTCATTATTGCTCATGCCAGTGAGTCTTCTGTCTATGAAAGCCTGCAGGGATGTCACTGGCTCTTGAATGTCTCAGTACTAGGACAATTAACAATGTGTAGTTGTGCCCTTGACTCTTGCTCATGGTAACTTTATAGTACCATTCACGCAATAAGTGCGAGATGAAGAATGGAACAGGGGATGTACATCTAAATGGAGACAATACAATTTACAGTGTTTTCTATTCCTGCTTTTCCCTGGGTAGGAAAGGGTTTCAAACACTAAGGAAGAGAAAATTTAGATAGGGAAAAAATCAATAAAAGGCAGGTGCCACTATCGCTTCAGCCGTCACTGATACACCCAACAACTATCATCTATTTGTCAGTCCATCATCTGAGAATTAATCCAACTTAACCTATACATAACCTGGAATAAGCAATAGGAATGAGCAAAGAAAGTTTCCTTTTTGGCTCTCGTTATTTTGAAAAGACAAGCAATAGAAGTGTGTATTTAAAAACAGGAGAGCTGCACCAGCTCAAGTTTTGAAGGTCTCTTTAAAATCTTATGCAATTTGTAGTAATGGCAGCTATACAACAAGCTGCTAAATCGAGCAGCAATGGAAAGTCAAATATTGGCACTCTTTTTATCCATACTGCTTAGATGTTACCTTGCACTCAGGTTGTAGTCTGGGAAAAGCCAACCACGTCCTCTAGACAGAGGAAGTCAAGTCAAATTAAAGACCAGATAACATTTAAGGTTTCTCCCAGCAGGATAGGTAAGTCTCACTTAAAATCACTATTCTGAGACTGCAGACATTGCTATCAAGGTCAGGACAGATACAAGGTGGGTCTAGGTCCCAAAACAAAGCGTGGATTAAATGTTATGACCACAGAACCAGTGAGGGAAGCTTTTAATAGAGTGTTCAACTAGGCAGTGTACCAGGTGAGCTAAGAATGATATGCACAAAAACAGAGCTTTTGCACTGTTGCAGCTGACTTAGCTCTCTCTCTCGCATATGTGATATATAACAGAAGTGGCTGATCCCAAAGATATATGTCAGGTAGTTAAAGGATTAAGACATGTCTTAACTGGACTGCATTTTATATATATTAAAAAACAAGCAAACAAAAACTCCCTCCCTCTCTCTCCCCTTCTCTCTGTAGTGACTCCAACAGTACCTGAACAATATACACCCTAGTTTTGTGAGGGGAAAGAAGAACATTGTAATTGCATTTCATTAGGTCTCCAAATAAATAATAAATATTGTGTCTATACTGTAAAGGAAACACATAAGAAGGAAAGAAAAGCAATGGCATGTCAAAAGAAAAGATGACAGATGAATTCTAGAGCTACCAAAAGCCTTACCCTGATATAAGCCAAGAAAGCCAGGTCATCAATATCCAGCCCTCAGTATTGCACCTGTAGATTTAGCAGTTCAGATTGGGGGGGGAAGGGAGGCTCAGTCACTTACTCTAAACAAACTTTCACTGGAGCAATGTGCAGGCAGCAAAAGTATTTTTGATGCCAATTAAAGATTAGAAAAATCATCATTTACAAAATGCCCCTTGATGGGGGTATTTCAAAGTAAACTAAACATCTTTTCTATTTAAACTGGTGGAAAGAGGCTGTATTTCTCAAGTTAGTTAGAGAAAAGAGGATTAAAAAGGTGAAATGGCTTATTAAAAATGAGACACAAAGCATTTTACATCAGTGCCTACGAGGGTCCATACGAAAGACTAACTATGTCAGATTAACGAAAAAAAAAATAGACATTTATCTAGTCTAAAGCCTCTTTTAATATGGTGAGCTACTTGAAATCTTGGTAGCCCTCTTCATAAAGCAAAGGTATGGAAAAACAAACAAACAAACAAAACCACTTTTTTTGCACAATTAGAAATGTAAAAATAGCATAGACAATATTATGGGTCAGTGAAACACAAACTATATTCATAACACCAAGGTTACCAAAAGAAATAAATTTTAAAGTGCAACTTAAAATTTTTGAGACCATATGATAGCCAATTCTAAAACTTAAAAAGTTTTGGCCGAATGCATTTTATATACACCTGGTCAGATTGGCAAAAAGCAGCAAAGGTAAATGAATAGGTTATCTGAAAAGACCCACATAACTTATGGTTTTGCTGGTGAAAAATAATGCAAACAGCATGAACTGATATTAATAAGTGCACAAAATAATGTGTTATCCCGCCTGGTATATATAAATGTTGGCTATACATATGGTTTTTGGATGGCCTGTTGTCATGGTTACCATTCAGCTGTCTTTATGCTTTAGCATGCCCTGTTTTCTAAGGTTGAGGTTCAATTCAAGTTCACATGAAGCATATCAACTGAAGTTTTCAGATGTGGGCTCTAATGTAATGTGCATCATTTTCTGAGAGGCCAACTTGAAATACTTTTGGCATGAATTTATGAGATGTCAAGCACCTTCAGATGCAGCAGAAGCCAATGCCCTGTATGCAGTGACTGAATCATGAATAATCTGCCAAACAGCACAGTCTGTAACAGTCTTATTTTGAAAAGCCATAAACCTATTTCAGTTGGTATGGGGACTGCTTCTGTACTCCTGCAGGCTGACCTTACCAACGTTAGCCACTAAATGAACAATATGATAGTCTCCCAGCAACATTTACTCATTTGTCTGAAAATATAGGAATGCTTAACTCTGTAATGTAAAACATAAACTTCATTCCTGTGTATAACATGAAATAACCAAATAGTTGGATCCATTGAAATGGAAAACTCCATTTCCCCTTTCCTTTTCCAAATTTCCTTTTAAATGTTGAGGGTCCTTTCTAGCCCAAGCCATTCTATGATTCTAAGGTTTTAGAAGTCATTAAAAAGCCTGAGGTTCAAACCAGAAACACTGAACCTCAGCAATAAAGTCCAAAACACCTAGCAAGGGTAATCAAGAATTAGCTCAGGTAACTCTGTGTAGCGTTTGCATTGTCTTCTGCTCATGTGCCTAAAGAATTAGAGGGATGCGTATAAATACTTTTTGCAGCTCTATAGAAACAGATGTCCCTGCTCTTCAAAGTAGCCTCTTTACCTAAAGAAAATCCTTTTCACTGCTTCCAACAAACCATCAGGAACTACCAAAGACTCCCGAAAGGCTCTTTCCTTCCTTCTCCTTTTCTCAATTTAGCTTTTGCTGAGCAATTGGGAAAAGACATGTTGTTCTTTTTTATAGTGCAGTGTATAGAAATGTTGTCTGCTCATAGGAAAAGTAAACTTAGTGGTAAAGTTTTGGTATAGCCAACATCCATATGAGCATATTACACACGATTTAAGTTAAGCTTATCTCCTCCTTTTCTCTCCAGAATAAAATACGAAGGGAAAAGCTAGGGAGGAAGTTCTAGATCTGTGTCTCTTCTTTCTAGGTCCATCTCTCACACAATCTTTTTGCTTTCAGTCTTACCAGTTCTTGACTCGCTCCTTTTCTCTCAAAGATAGACATAAGCAAGCTAGTGTCACCCATCGTGTTCCCTATAGTAGGCCTTCCTCTGGCTTCAGTACCCATATTCTCCTGGAAGTGCTCAAATAATTTGGTTTCTTTTCCTCTTGATTGCTGGGTTGTTAGCATCTTTGGTTTGCTTTGCTCCTTAATGAAATTGTCCTTGAGGACATCCATCTGCAGGGGGGTGACCCAAAAGCACCTGCTTTCAGATAGTTTCTATTCATGCATACTTCTCAGAAGCAGGTAGGGCTTGATTGTTAAAAAAGTCTTTTCCTGTCCAACAGGAAATTTCTGAGGAGCCATTTTATACAAAAAGGAAAAAGTAAAGTGTACAATACAAATTCAGTATAATTAACAAAAAATTAGAGAACTAGTTTAGCATTTGTTTGTATGAATATACACACAATATATGAGTTACCATGGCCTTCAGACTGCCTCACCCCCAACTCTATGTTTTTTATTTATTCATCTTTTGGGACCCATTGAGACAGACAAACAGGGTTGCGTGCGTGTTTAATTAGGAGTATTCAATAGCATTCTTTTGTATCAGGCATCTCAACATTATTTCTTAATTTGATTTCACTGTACACATTCTTCAGGGCTCTTCATTTATTTTGATAATAAACGGGCCAGTAAACTATAAGCTTTATCTCCTAAACCCTAGAGTTAAGCATCATCAGAGACATGGAGTCACAAGCAAATTGGATTGAGGGAGGCCTCTTTGCCCCCCATTTCCTACTTCAGTTTATGTTCAGATAAGTGGAAAATGTTTGCTGCTAACCTCAATGCAGGTCTTCCAGTTCACTGCACAAGTGATACACTTCCATAAACCTGACGATGCAGTCTGTGATCTATGGAAAGAGAAAGAGGGCACTGAGATGAACTCCAGATGCACCTATTTGTTATGCTGTGGGCTCTGGAGGCCTAGCACCATGCAAAATAGCATTTCATAAGTCTCTTCCCGGGCCATCGCATGAGACACTAGCAGTAACATCGCTAAACATGCTGCCTTTGCAGAGAAAGCATCATCTGGCTTCCCACCACATCAAACATGGAACTGATCAAGAAACTGTCTGGCATTGCAGGATAAGCCTTCTCCTCCAGTGAATAAGGTTACAACACAGATGCATGAGAATGTTTTTATCACAAGCCCATGCTTTTAAACAGGTTATTAGCACAGCACCAGCAGGGGCCATTGAAATGAAGACTTGATTTGTTCATTCAAATCAAATAATTATTTACAGCCTAAATGATCAAACTCTGCACTATAAGAAACAAAACAAAACAACAAAACACACACGCTACAACAAAAGAAACTTTATTCTGCCTGCTTGATGTTAAATGGCAAAGCAGCACAGGAGTGAAAATATCCTGAAGCCCTATATCATCTTCATTATCTTCACTGGTGAAGTGAGTGAGAGCGTGGAGAGGTGTGAAATTCCAGCAGAGAGAAACATGCTGTTTTAAGAGGAAGTGCTGACATGAAGGCTACAATTAGACAAAAAATGACTGCTGACATTTAAAAATCATTACAGAGAGGAAATTGTGAGTGTAATTATGTCATCATTGACACTGTTCAAGTGTGCTGATGCATTTTTGCTGATCAAAATCAAGTGTTTATATTTGTAAATAGAATGCACTTAGCAACTCTATCAATGGAAATGTTCTAGCCAAGAACTAAGGAAAACTGAGCCAAGTCACTTTGACAGAAACTTTTTTTCTTTTTCTTGATTTTCAGTTGTTTTTATTTTTATTATTATTATTATTATTATTTGTTTGTTTTCTTTTAGGATCATTTTGCTAACAAGATTGTTTCTTGTTATTGATGACTTTGGATGACTGATTGGGTTTTATTTGTAGGTGTTTTTTTTCATAAAACAATAGGAATGGCCATTCTGGAGAAGGCCAAAGGTCCGTCTTTCCAATGTGTATTCTACATACAATAGTGGTCCACAGTTAGATGACTACAGAAGATATAACAGAACAATAAGAACATATTAGCCACACCAAACTCCCAGCTTCCAAGATCTGCTGCTCAAGGACTTCCCAGACTGCTCAAAACCATCAGAATAATCAAGTCTTTCTGACTGGGTTTAGATATAGTCTGATTCTGGAGTCAGTACAAATGGAAACATGATGTCAAGCAGGTGGCAAAATATGTAAATGTTATCATTTACTTGGAGGAGTTTGTTGACTGTGCTAATACTGAAGTCTTGGCACTGCGTTACTTATCACAGTTCTGCCTTAAGCACTGTCACAAATCTCTTACCTATGACATATCATTCAATGACAGGGAAAAGCAACCAATCTATGATACATACAAATGCTCACTTCAGAGGGGACAAAATATATGGAAGTGTTTGCGTATAGCTGATTCTCAAAACATTTTTTATTTTTTAAATCTCAGAGATCTGGGAGATAATATATAAGTGCACTTTATGCACATGAAAGCAGACATATTTACAAAGGCCCTTGAGGAAAGTAAGAAAAGGTCTTGTCTTCTGCAATGAAATGTCCACAACAAAATATGTCTTGAAATACTAGTGCTCCTGAGGATGGCATTTTTTTCGCAGTATTCTGGAACATGTTTATGTTGGAAGTTAAGAAAAAGACTAAAAGTATGAACAAGATAAAGGATGCTTAATAACAAGACACAAACATGAATATTGAATGTCAACTATTCTGGTTAAAACTCCCGCTTCCTCAGTCCACATCTACACAATTTTAAATATCCCCTTAGTATCTCTTTGTTAGTTTTATAAGAAAGAAATACGAGTCTTGGTTTGTCTTTTTTTTTTTCTTTTCTTCTCTCTTTTCTTCCTCTCTTTATTGACTTTGCCCTTTGGAAATGGGATTTTTCACAATCCACCTGTTAATTTGCTGGGTGTCCTCCTGCAGTCAGCTTGTGTGGGTTTTGGTTGTTTTGTTTTTCTGACACTGGCTCCATCAGTTTCCATCAGTGTCATTGTTTCCTAGATGCCAAAAAATATATCCAGTCAAATTGTGTCAGAATAATGTCAAGCAACTCTATAGTCACCACATCAGCAAAAGAGCTGCTTTCATAATGTCATTTTACAATTGGAGGTATACTGTAATTCATTTTTAGAGTGATAAAAATTTTCATGTCAAAACACAGGAGTCTTTGTGACATTAAAAGTGTAGAAATCAGTAGTTAGGGAACAATCTGTAGTGTATGTCTTGGGAGAGGCCAGTATTTTGAATGACTGCGTAATACATCAGGGAATAGTCAAGAAACACACCTGTGAAAAAGCAGGCCACAGAAATATAATTTTATAGAGCACAGTTTAGGTAGCAAGACAAATCAGTACCAAAACACAGATCTGTACACTCTATCCAACTGAGAGGAGCGCAGCACCAGTTACAGATTTCACCCAGAAAGCAGAAATGGAAGCTGTGAGAAGTCCTCTGGTGCATCCTCAGCAAGTCAAATCTCCATGGTCTTTGCTTTTAGCTTTAATGATGACTGTGTTTTGCTGGAGACTTTATTTTAATTAAGACAGTAATAGGCATTCCATAACTTCCCTAAGAAGTTGTATCCATCTACGCTTCCAGAGACCTTTACCTGAAGTCTAATTTGAATCTCCATTGACATTAACTCTTTGAATACCTACCCTGAAGTTCTTTTGATGGGACAAATTTTTAAGTTTTTGTGCTTAACCCCTAACAAAGCTACTAGCCTCTATAACACAGCAGTCTAGATTTTCTGTACTTAATCTGACAGGCACAAGTGTTGGTCTCAGGGTATTGCTGGGTCCTCCTGCTCAGGCAGAAGGAAACAAGCACTTTCTCAAGTGAAACTGCTTCAGTACTGAAATTAGAAAAAATATCGCAGGCAATAAAAAAATGCAATCTTTTGGAGACCAGAGGGACACAATATTCCATATAGTTTATGATTCCATTACAAAACAATTTCTCAGTCTCTCATTTGCCCAGACATTGTCAATATAGCATGATGCTGCTGCTCTGATAACCCAATTCTGTAAGCTGCCTCCATTCAAAGCACAAAGGTACTTTTTACAAAAACAAACCAACCAAAGAAACCAACCTCAGAGTACTCACCGCAGTGAGGCGTGAACTTCAGAAGCTACACCAAGACTAGGAATTTTTTCCTAGTCTTCAGTATTTTTATTCTTGCATTATGTATTTTTAACAAAGCCAATGCAAATAGCAAGTATAGTGACAGTATTCAGAAGAGTGATTCTATGGAAAGGCATTGGTTATAGCAGTAGGCACATATAGCAGTACAACGTTGGTTATAGCACAGAGACTATGTGGTACCTACGAATGCAATTTTATATCACTCTGTTTTAATGACATGGAATGATCTGCCCTGACAGCTTTCAGAGAGGGACCAAATTTTAAGGCTTTTAACCTTCGTTGTGAATAACCATCCATCTCAGTCGTCTTTTCTCATCAGTTTACTGAAGTAGGGAATTTACCAACACACCTAAACAAAACAGAATGATCACTAAAACAGTGGAGCTCTACCTCTTGATGTTACTGCAATGTAAACATCAAATAATGGTAACAGAAATGCGGGTTGCGTGATTTTAGTAAACCAAGTGTAAGAAAAATAATTATTCCAATCCATTCTACTCTGAAAGGCTTCCACTGCACGGCAACAGAAGTACATTGCTATAAATGCCCCCGTAGTAATCAGTCTCAAAAACTTTTAGAATCTCTCAGTTCCAAGAATGCAATACGTTATTTCTGCTATACGATGAATGAAATAAACATATGACCAAGGTATAGATGGAAACATGCAACAAGTCTGAAGGCCAGGCTGAATAAAATGAGAACAATTTAAATGGAATAGTATGATTTATCAGCTAAAGATTTTCTTCTGTAAAATATGTTCATTCTCTTCCTCCAACAGTCAAGTCTAACCAAAGAGATCAGCAAATCTGAAAATGTGGGAGCAGAGTAACAAACCGGCACAGAATGGGAAGAATAGAAAAGATAAGACGCTATCCAAATTTGATTGCAAGGAAATCTTTTGCTTCTCAAAATACTGCTAATTAGCATTATTTGCTCAGGCTTTATTAGTTAAATTTCAACTGTTATGCCTATAAAATCAATTGTGCTGCCTATAAACCTGAATTACGTTGTTACTTGGTATACCTTCATGAACATTTTGCAATGCCTCAAATCAATGAAATGTTTTTCTATTTTAGAGTAAGTCAGAGCTGACAACACTGAATGTAATGTACTATTGGTGCATTTTAATGTAACTGAAATAATTACAATCTTTTATTTACTGAGTTTTAAATAGTAGTATCCACAAACCAAAATATCGCAGTATTTGATTTAATATGATTTTAATACTTCATGCAACAACTGCTTCTGGTTAAACAATTGGCATTAATTATGCATGCATGAATCATTCATAAACCAGGGTTTTATATCCATCACAGCATCAAAGCAGGTTTAGACTTACAGACACAGATCCAAGGGAGATGGTATAGTTCCAACCTGCAGTTGGCAAAAGCAGCCCTTGCAGTCAAACAGATTGGGAGGCTCGGATGTTTTAATGCCAGGGCATTTGTAAACCTGGTAAGTTCACCGTGCTCAGATAATGTAAGTCAGTGTTGTTTATAGACACCGAAATATGACAGCTAAATGTCTGTCTTCTCTTAGCATCAGTTCATCTGCTTCTGCTTTTAATGAAGTGGTGAAAATAGACATTGGCACCCCTGGTGAAACTGGTGCTACCAGAGACTGAAAGAACTGTAAGTCAGCCTTAGGAGAGGGTACTGGGCAGTGGTAAGGCTTTAGCTTAAGTATCAGGTCCAGCCTTGAACATGTCCTTCACAAAGAGGGAAGTGAAAGGTGAGAGTGCTACCGGGAAAGAGCTCTGAGAAGAACCAAACATACAGAAAATAAAATGAAAGCATTATATTGAAAAAGTAGAGATAATTAAAGTGGAAAAGAGATGACTGGGATAACAGTCTGCACAGAAAAGCCTAGTATAAAAACAAATTAATTCCATCTCCATGTGCTCAGCAGGTAACGAGACAAGTAAGAGCAACATAACTGACAGCAAGAAAGACTCACGCTGGATGTTAGGAAAAGCTTTCTAATCATAAGAACCAGCACAGACATAGCTTGCTTTCTGGAAAGCTACAGAGGTGCTGCGTTGTGAAGGTTTTAAGGACAGGCTAGCCTGACACAACCAGAAATGAAGTAGATGTGCCAGGGCCTATTCTGGGGCAGTCCTAAGTGACCTCTCCTGCCTGCAGCATCTTAAGCTTTGTAGAATGTAGAAAGTGCTCCACACTCCTGCTAACCTACACGTGCTTGCAAGGACTGGCATTCAGTAATTCCCTGCAGCTCCTGCACCCTAGGTAGAGGTGGTATTTCTGCCGTCTGTGTTTTGTTGCGGCCATACACAGCTTCCAAATGAGTAAGCTGAGATGAGGCACCTCCCTGCCTGGGGCACTGCTGCCACTGATCCGATACATAGAGCCAGTGTACAGCTCTGGATTATATTATTGAAGCACAGCTGTGGTAGTGACCTTTTAAACACCTAAATCCTAATTGTACTTAGACCTTACCCATCGAGTTTGTGGGCCAAAATATCAAAAGGCCATCTTTCTGTGAGCTTCAGTGATGTCTTCAACTAAATTTGAAATATTTCCCAACAGAGTGTCACGTGAGAAAGTTGGTTTGCCCTCTCCTCACAGTGAGATAAATCACAAGTGATGCCACACAAAGATGTATGGTCTTAGACCATGACAAAAACAGAGTAGATGAATGAGCTTCATTAGAACTTATTTGTCACTGTAAGAGGGTGGGACACTAAGATCTTTTGCAGTCCTGGTTGTGATTGTCTTGAAAATATCCTTTTCTTTCCAGTTTACACTTGGAAAATGGGCAGCATGCCCTTCAGATATGCCACTCCACAAAGCAAAGTTCACACAGGGCTTCAATGTGACCCTGGAACTGATTTATGTCGTGTGTCTTGTGTCTATTTTAAGACCAGGATCTTCCTTACTCTACCTTACAACACTCCGCCAAATTCCTTTCAGAGGTGCATTAAACAGACTACCTCTTGGGCTACTAGGTCTAAGGAGTAAGTGAAATTAAAACTGACAAAAATAAAAGGAAAAATAAATTAATAAGAAAGCCTAAAATATTTTAAAAGTCAGTATTTCAAGAGGCAAAGTACAAATTTGAAGAAGAAAATTCATAAGTGGTGCTAAGAATTCACCTACATCTTTCTCTCTTAAGAGAGTGCTTAACTTCCTGCTGAGAAGAACAACTCTAGAGTGGATCACAGGAAAGACCCACCAACCTACTGCTGGTACTGGCTAGGTGATGCATTGCTTTATTTCACAGCAGCTGAACATCTCTGCCTTCAATGGCCTGTTTTCATCAGTCACTTTGTGCAGGAGGTTTTAGAAAAGCTTTTCAAATCACCGTAGAATAAGTAGGAGTATGCCATGGGTACACTTGTAGTTAAAACTAGTAAGTATTCCAGTTCAATTATGAAATTTAAGCTACAAGTGCTGCAGCTGAAGTTTTCAAAATATGCTCTCAAAATAAAAAGTCCTCGCTAAATGCCTCTTGAAAGAGTAAACAGGCAGCACAGCTTTGAGCTTCACTTTGTGCTTCACTTGCAATAAAGTTATCTGACCCAGCCTCACACCTCCCAGCCTCTAACTCTGCAACAGGTCACCACAGCATAGTGTTACATGCTATAACCTTGCCCTGCCATTCACACTTGATGTGGTCACGGCTTGATTTCTAATGGCGTGCTAGGACTCCTGGCCAAATTTCATTGCTAACGGGGGAAAAAGTCAGCCTGACAAACTGTGTATTTCCAGTGCAATCAAAGGAAGACAGATTTGCCTTTTACTCCAAAAATATATTTTTGTATGTACACGTTCATATGTTTGTGTATATATATGTATAAATATATACACTCTCATATATATGTATATATCTTGCAAGATGAAGGCTTCTTTATGTGGCATTTAAGACTTATAGTGTCCTGAGAGAAAAGCAACCAGCTGCAACTCAGCCAGTCAGTTCAGTGTGAGCACAGCGAGTGAGCCATTTGAGATACATGTACATGATCTTTCAGCTGCACAACATCCCGTTCATCAAATGATTCAAAAATGGAATATGTAAAGGTGGGAAAAACAAGCTGCAGAAGCAAGAAAAAAACAATTAGCAGAAAAGCTTAGAGAAGAAAAAAAAAAAAAAAGCCTGAAAAAAAATCACCACATTATCATTTCAAGTTCCTAGAGCTGTCCCAGCTTCCTTTAGGGTGATCACAGAGCTAGGAAATTCTTTGTATTAGAGCAAGAGTACGGAAGTCTTCAAGTCTCCTAATTAGGCACTGATAATTTAGCAGGGGACTGCAGGATTCAAAGTATACAAGGTAGCACTAAGCACAAAGTTGGCTTTATATCCTTTGCCCCACACCCTTGCCCCACCAAAAATTTCAGATATGACAAGCCTCAATTTTAGGAAAGAGGCTGTTATAGTCTGCAAATAGTTTCCATCCTGGAAGAAGACGCACCCAACAGAATTTAAACAATGCATGCTGCAATCTCAGTTACAGTGGCATAAATTAGGATCAATTCCACTGAGGTCAGAACAGTTATGCCAGCTTGAGACACATGAGGATCGAGACCAATTAACTGCAATAGAGTTAATTCTCATCTACTTTACCACAAATCAGAATCTGGTCCCTGGCTTTCAGTTGGATTCAGTCCATGTAGTGGGCCAAATCTGCCTCTGAATTTCAAAAGAATAGATATTGAGAAACTGATTTTATTGGAACTATTCCCAGTTACAGTACTGCAACTTCTGGCCCAGAGACTACTCAATGTCCAGGCACTGAGCTGTAGCCAGCAGTTGAGGTCCCTTCGTGCTTTGGCCCAGGTGGACCAGAACACTCAGAGCCCACCCTGCAAAAGCATTTCTTTGTCATTTGTGGTGCTGCAGGTCAGACCTATTTTTGATCACAATTATTTCTCACGTGGATGAAGGCGGTAATTCCAGAAATAAAGCAGACATGTGGAACACACTCATCTACCTAGTTCCTCTCCCACCCCCAAGAATATTTTTTTGACTTGTTAACTACTGGAATTTGATCTTCATGTAATACAGGAAAAGTGTAACAGCGATACCAACGACCTTAGTAAAGTGCAAGCTGTGAATAGCCCTGGTGAAGCGAGCAGCCTGAAAAGAGATAAATGTTGGTATGCCAGCTGTTTGCTTCTAATGCAGGTGAATAGCTTTAGAAATATTTAAACCAGTTGGAGTGCACTCATCTCCAATCTTCATTAATGGGAAAAATAAAGAAGAAAAGTAATAAATCATAAGAAGTGCAATGACCACATACACCAACATTTAACAGCAAAGATTCTTCCTTCAAAGTTTTGCTGCTATCTCTCTAGACTGAGTACTCCTCAAGTTTCCTTCCTGCCTGGTTACACATGAATTTCCATTGTGCACCTCCTAAAAGAAGACCATGTCTTTCCAGAGATGAGGAGGTGGTACATGGAAACCTTGCATTGTCCAGGAAACTTCAGTACTGTCTGGGTGTCACTAGCATTACCTGGCACGTTTTTGCCCTCTCTAGTGGTCTTTTCCTGGTCAGTCAATATAAGCAATACTCAAGAAATTTGCAGGACTGTTCCTCAGAACAACTTTTATCAAACTACACTTCTCAGGCTACAACTTCATAATTTACAGCAGTTCTTGTGAGGCCATCTAGACTCTTTAAAATGTTCATAAATAGCAGCCTTGAAACAAGAAAAAAAAAAAAAAAAGGTTTTAGGCTTTTTTTGTTTGTTTTTTAGTTCAAATGTGTAATTGGGGAGTATGAAGACTCTGTTGTCTCAGCTTAATGATTAAAGCTGGAAAAAGCAATTTTATGCATGGGTATGGAAATGCCTCATACCTCCTGAAGCGTTTTGTACCTCTCCTCTCAACATGTAGTCCTTCTGGAGGATTTGGGCTCAACCTCACTTTGCATCTTTCAGCTGCATCCCAAGATTACACACTGTGATAAATATTTTTCTGGAGATGCTTCTTATAAATGGGAGTTACGTCCTTCAGCAATGCCTCTGCAGGGGTGGTGAAGGGGAAGAAGGATCAGAACAGAGCAGGGAGAAGGATTTTTCACACCAGCTGGAGTGAAAGGTCTGTCTGAACCTTTCCCCTCACAGGTTTTAGGAAATACCAATGGCAGGAGCAGTGATTTAGGCAGGAAGAGAAGGAAGAAGCCTAGCAAACAGCCACAGAAACACTGGAGAAAGGCAAACAATTTAAATTGTCGCTCATGGAGGAAGAAGACTGGCCTACTTGATGGAGAGGAGAACACAACACCAGTTGAAGGATCTGGGGACTGTCTGCCACCTCTTCTTCCGCATGGGTGAAGCAGCTCTGCAGAGCTGGGTGCTCTCCTTTACAGTAGTTATCATAAGGTAAGTGAGAAACATAGCTGTATACAATCAATTCCCTATTAAGCATTCTTTCCTGTTATTTAAAGTTGAACTGATGCAGAGCTTAATGACTCATGCTTTCTGACAAATAATATACCACACAAATGAATTTCAGAGGGAGCGGTACACTTCCTGAATTTGAATGGAATTTAGCAAATAGACCCAGATGAAACAATGCAGAGAAAAAAAAAAATAAAATGTCAAAACACTTCATTTTAGTATTTTCAAAATGGAGCGTTTCATTCTAGAACTGCCAAAACACTTCCATTTCAAAACAAAGACTTTTGACTGTCATTTTTAAATTGGCCTAAATTTAAAAAGAAAAAAGCTTTGAAATGTGTGAAACAGCCCAAGACCAAAAATGAAGCCACTCCTTTGAAGCTGAACTAAATATTTTGGGTTGAACAAAAAAAGATACTTTTCCTGATTATTTTTTGTTTTGCCAACTTTTTCTTTTTAAATTTGGATTTGAATAAAACCAAACTAAAATTCTGAAAAAAAATATTAGTTAGAATATTGACCAAAATTTCATATATTGTGAAGCTCCAGCTTTAGGTAACCTAGCTCCTAATACGCCTCTTGGAGTTTAATGGAGCAGTCAGGCCCATTACTTCCAAAAAGCTATTAGAGCATATTGATTTATTTTTAATTGGAAAAGCTGAAGGGATTTCTTTTTATAATGGTGAAATAACAGAGGTTTCATCTGAAAACTCCTAGTCAGAAATACCCCTCTAGCCACGTAAATGGTAGACTTAGGTGATCAGGGACATCGCTGTGGTGCTGCATCAGAATGAGCGCCCTGCTGAGCCCGATCCTGGCACCCAAACTGCCTGAGCATCCACGCTGCCCTGGCTTGCTTGCACTTGGGCCTTGCCTTGCACGAGGAGAGAGAAAGCAGCTCGCATCTAGATTCTGCTTCACACAGCATTGCTGCCACGTGCTGCAGACGTTTGGCCGCAGAGGCTCCTGTCCCTACCTGAGTACAGCCATGTAAGGGAATAAAGATGTGGCACTTGTGAGCCCCATCACAGAGGGCATGAAAAATGAAGCACCAAGCTGCCATTCTCCCGAGAGGTGCAGCAGCAGCTCTCCAAATCAATACTTTCAACCAGAAATATTTGGCTTGCAGGTGTTTGGCTTTCTGATGAATAGCCCTAATTTTCTACAGAAAGCAGATACTTTTTTTTTTTTTTTCTGGAGAAAATACTCTCAAAAAATTCAATTTTCCCTTTAAAGAACAGATGGCGATAGAAAATTTTTAACCTATAAGATGTAACAACACGCATGATTTTTCTTCCCCAAAACAATCTTTTCTGCATACCCATTGAATTGCTACAGAAAATTGCACTAAATGTCACTGGCTCTGAGCCGAAAACATTGCCTGCTTTTTCAAGCTCTAACAACAGATTTATTTAAGATGTTTCCCTGTGTGAACCTTGCTTTTTCTCATATTCTCAGCCTATTAGAGGAAGGCCAACATACCACTGTATTGCGTCTTACTGGATATGGTGATCATGGCCCCATGCCAGCCAGCTGAAAAAGAAGGGTGCTCGTAAAGACCTGCAGGCACAAAGAACAAGGAACAGGTCACCAGGGTAGAGCAGTCAGATCTGGTAGCTATCTTAGAGGTACAGAATGATCAGCAAATGTTTAATTACCAATACACGTGTGCAGAATTTCTAGAAGGCTTTTACTTACTCACTTCCAAAAGGAAAAAAAAAACAAAACATCTATGTCCTGAATTTGCTATGGTTCAGTCAGCAAAAGAAAGGAAATCCAGGGTTGGAGATCGCCCCCTCCCCACTGTCTATCACAATGGGTTACCTTCCTTAATTTTACCCGACTGTGTCATATTGTGACCAAATATTGGAGGCTTGATCCTTAACTTTGAAGTTTTTCTCTTTTGTGGAATCAAGCCAGAACCACAACATTTTTGAAAACGCAGTGCTTCACTGTATTGAATGCAGTTTTCTCTGTGAGAGTAAAACCAAACAGCTTCTACCCTTCCAATGAATGTTTTTTTTTAAATTGTCTTTAACCATTTTTCTTTGTGTTCATATTGGCACTTGATTAAAACTGTAGGACATCTGATTCAAAAGATTATTTTCAGAAGACAAATAAGGAAACTTTAATGATTTTTCTTCAAATATCTCCTATCATTTTTTATAAATTCTTTCCAGATTTGGCTTGACATTCTAACACACTTCAGGATTATCTGAAAGCTAATTCAAGTAATACTTTACTTTGGCCCTGCTTTCTATTATTTTCATGTGTCAGTATTAATTGTATTTAAGTACTCTCTTCAGGAACATTTGAAATAAAATAGAGGTTTTAGAGATCAAAATCAAATATACACATATACATGCGTATACACATATGCATAGCCGTCAGAAATTACTCCTAGTTGCAATGTGTGTTCAACTAGCCAAATACAATAAACAAATCATTCATTACTTTGAAGTTATAATGACCTTAGTGATAACTTTTCCTGAATAAAGAATGCAAACTCTAGCCACAGCAAAACTTTCTGAAGTTTAATTAAATATTTTAATAGAGTTAAGCCTTATTCAAGAGAACTCCACAGAGAGAGGTTTCAGTGGTTTATATGGAGGAAAAGAGATTCCATATCAATAAATACGTTGACATCTACCAGGTAAAGTGTTGTAATATTCCTCTGGGTGCAACTTCTCTCCCACTAACGTGTTGGACGGTTTAGATTAACACCATATGCCCCTTAGTAGAATGAGCTGGAAACCAATGTAATAGTGTGAATTCATTCCATAGTATTGTTTTCCCAGCATTTCCTGTATTCCCAGGTTATGGGCTGATGATATTCTGATGGGCATAATAATGAAAGAAGAGAAAAAAAACATGGGGACAGGTGGAAGCACAGAGCGAGCAGAACCACAGGGAGGAAGAAAGGCAGGAAGAAAGTTACGGAGAAGTTATGGGAACTGAAGAACAGGTTGTTTTGTGTGTTGTTTTTTTTTGGTAGAATAAATAGACAAGGGGGATTGTCGAGTGATGTTGGAGGATATGCCGGTGTTCAAAAGTGATGGCAGTAAGTCAGAAAGGGCAATGGCTCTTCTGGAGATGTGGTAAAGACAATGGATAAGATGAATTATTTCTACATCTAGAGATACACAATATTGAGTGGCATCACCACCACAGACAGATCTGGTGAGAGAGAAGAATCAGGCAAGCAGGAGCATCAGAGAAGTTACTACTCACTCTTAGAGGACCAGAACTAGGATGTGTCCCCTGTGCTGCTCCTAACGCTGTGTCACTACATAAAGCACAGTAAGGGAAAAGAAAGGAAGTAAATAACTTGCCTTTTAAGTCTATGTATCAAAAATTATTCCCTGACTCTGTGTTTATACTGTAGTTTTCTTTGCAGTCAGGATTAAAGTTTGCTTATTTGTAGCAATTTTATTAATCTAAATGATCTTTAAAAAATATTCATTTAATTAGTAGCAATTTGTATTAATTGGGGTGATAGGCCTAGCCATTGGTTAACCTTGCACAATAGGTGTATGTGCCTCTCCATCAGCAGATGAGTTACTGAGTTACACAGACGTGGACTGAGCTTCAGATGGGACTCCAGAAAATTGACTCAAACAATGTCTATGGATTGGCTTCTTTAGATAAAGGGCAGGGATGAATGCTCCGTTATACCAGAGGCAAACATGTTTTGGTGGGAAAAAAAAAAAGGCAAAAAACCACCACCACCAAGTGGATAGCTTCTTTTCTTCATAGACAGACATTTAAAATTTCTTTACATTGTTTGCTAAGAGGAGCTCTGGGCTGGTCTGTTATTTGTGAAAATGGCTCATTCTTTTTCTTCATGGCTTTTGTATTTGAGGACCTATGATTAATATCAATATTCTTTTCTGTATTTCATGATGAAATATGCTCCTACTAGTGGAGAATGCTGGAGTAAACAGCACCAAAGAATGCAAAATACTTGCAGGTGGTTATGTTGTTTTTAAATAAACTATGGGTCAGAAACATTGCAGACAGAATCACTGCAATCCATCTCTGGTAAAATAATGACAAAATACTCCTAGTTACTCAATTAAAAATACCAGAATTCAAACTAAATGTTATTCATAACAAATAGTTCAACTAGCTGAATCCATGGTGTGACAGTGACAGCTATAATGAAAATCAGTGATGCTGCAATTTATTTTTTTTGATCCTTTCAGAGATTTCATAATGTGTTTTCAATTCGAGGCAACCCAGCATTCAAACACTAAGGGACATTTCTGTGTAACCAGTCTGCTGCTGCCTGGCACCAGTATGAGTTAATCCTTGAAGATCTCAAACCCCCAATCACGACATAGCTGCAACCCCAACACTACAGGTTTTCCTGAAGAAAAGGTATTTTCAAAATAAATAATAATAAAAGAAAATAGTATACTGTCAATGAGAAGGTCTGAATAATGGTCAGAAATCCTACAAACAATTGAGAGGTGAGGAAAATTTAGGCTCAGAGCTGAATTTCACAGCTTATATGCAAAGATTTCTAAGAAATATGATTTTTTCTCAAAGCTGAAGAGAAGCAGGTATTCAATATTTTACCTTGCTTAGATAAAATGGACATCTGAGAGTTTGACTTTAATCCTAAACTAGCAGTGAAACAAGCAAAAAGAAGTAAGAAGGGAGGTGATTTCTAACTAAATTGCATAAAGCTGTCTTGCCAAAATTATCCAGTGTTGTAGCAAGGCACTGACATAAAGTTATGCAACTGAGTCAGGTTCTTGGCTGCAAGATTTCCATCCGAAGGCAACTTTCTCTTATTTTGATTGTGATAATCCTGAAGCCAGCCGGACTGTTTCCTTAGTGCATGGGGTAAGGGAAACAGCTCGAACTGTGTGTTCCTCTGCGTGTGAAGGTTTCACAGAGCATAGAGGCCTGCTTGCCAACAGAAATAGCACCCACAAAAATGATTTATATTCAAATGGTCAATAGCTCAGGAAAGGATAAGAGATTTTCACCATAATACATAGACTAAAATTTGGAATAGGTGAGAAGAACTAATGCTTGATTCTAAATTTTGATCTGTTTTCTTTCCATTACTTTGGTTTACAATCTAAATTCTTGCTCCACAAATCTTCAATGCCCTTCAACGCCTGTGCATAAACCAAGGGGAAGCATTAAGTGCTGGTCAGGCAGAGGGCTCTGGGCTGGTGGCTCCCAAGCAGAGAAAGTAAAGTCAAATCAGAACCTGTATCTCTTTGTCTAGAAAGTGCAGGGGTAACGTTTCCAAGCAAGATTTGTATCCTGCAGTCCTAAACAATGACTTTGATCCCAGTGACTGTCAGGAATGTAACAGGGTTTGTCCCCCAGATAATGTTATATTTTTAAGGTGCATAGATATTTACATGCATAAAACAAAATTATAATTCAGTAGTAAAAGAATTAGAGAATATAACCGAGATCTTCACCATAGGAGTGGTCCCATTTACGTCAATGGAATAATTTTGCTGTGATAAGGGTTTAGAGAATCTGGCCTGTGTAACAACCATCTGTGCTCCTTGGGTTTTATCCTTAGATAACATTATGCTCTAGCAACAGAAAGAAAATGCCACACTGACAGGTAACCCAACCTATTTCCAAACAGCATGCCAAGTCACTAACTACTTGGGTGTGACATTTGACTGCAGTTGCTTTCACACTTTGATTTATTCTGCTGCTCTCATCAGTGCCCTGTTTCCCCTGTGCAAATTCCTGCAGACACGTTAGCATGGAGGCTGTCACACTGCTGGTCCACTTGTCACAGCTGAGCTCTCAGCTATTCAACCAACACCCTGAAACTGACCCCAGCCAAGGTGGCAGCTCTACACGCTACCTTCTGCATTAAATACATGGCAAGATGACCCTTACCTCTGCAGCCGCTACTACAGCATACACCAAAAACCTGCTGTTCTGTAAAAATACATCTTTATTGAGGCACGAAGTGTTGAGTCTTCTTCAAATATTTAAGTTTTGCAAAGTAACCTTCACTACAGTATATTATTACTATTATTTATACACTCAATAAGTTAATCAAATGTACTGTTTTTCCCTTGCAGATGATCAAAGGGAGGTTTGGGCCAGTCTGTAGGATCTGGCATGGCCCAGTAGTCACAAGAGACACGGTGTCTTTTTTAGGCAGCATTCTGCCCACACAATAGCAGCAAATCAGTTTCACTCAAAGAATTCATGGTGCAATGCTGTAACTGTTTTGTGATCAAAGTACTGCAAAATCATGATGTAGTTTAGTATTTCTGTGTGGCACAACATGTCAAACTTTGTTTTCATTTTATTTTTTAATTGTTTAACTTGCAAGTCAGAGAGACTTTTTCCTAAAACGAAAGAGAAAACTCCGTTTGCAGTGAGTGGTACAGAGGTAAGATAAGAAAACCCATCAGCAACTTCTGCCAAAACATATTCAAGGTTAGCATCACAATGCTTGGCTTGTAGCACATCTTTATTAAAGACAGGCTTTCTCAAGAACTTGTGCAGTGAATTAGATTTCTAAAAAAGCTAAGAAATAGCTAAGAAATGAGACGCCTATGAATGGAGTGGGACTTAGGCACCTCTGTATTTGTTTCCCCAGGGCCTTCCCAGATATAAACATTCTCGTGGAGTCTCATATTTTATATGGTGGGAGAGGATTTTAGAATAATCAGCAAATTCTTCTCAGTCAGAGCAAGAGCTTCCTTCTCAGCTGAGTGCCCTAAGCACTTGGTCACGGGCTGTCCTGAACTGACGGACAGGCTCTTTTCCTGTTAGGGCATTTTAACCCAATCTGAATTGCTAAAGAGTCACTGACCCAGATAAAGAAGCACTGCCAAACTGATTGTGCTGGCTAGGGTGCTCCCTGTCATCTCTGAAACTGTGATTCAAGTATCTGCTCCAGAGTGAAGTGAGGAATGTCTAGGGCACAGAAAGAAAGAGAGACACAGAGTACCATGGAGCAGACTCCATCCCCTCAGGAGGTTCAGCTTGAGACATGGTGCCTATAAATTTGTCAGCCGATGGTCAGCTTTAAAGATTCATCCAAAGGCACCACAAGAGAGCAACGGGACAGTTATCTGTGCAGGTGTACTGTGTATCCTCACGCTGACACAAACCCTCATCTCTTGCAGGAAGATTTTTGCTGCTTCCCAAGCTGACTGTAAGGGAAAGGTTCACCAAGAAGGGGAACTGGCCAAGGTGAGTGTAAATTGAAAACACTCTATCAGACAGAGCAAGTCTGTACAGTCAGCAACTCCAGCCAATGTGCCTACCAAGTCGTGGGGAGAAATATGGTGAAAAATTTCTGGATCCAGTTTAGTACTACTATAGCATCAGCATGATATTTCAGGGATTTCAAGTAACTTCTGATCAGCATAAAGGTATCACAGCTGTTTCTGTAAATCTTCACAATTCGGCACTGTAACATTCCTCCCTTGTAACATGCCTCCTGTGAATGATGATACAGCACAAGGCTTGCTGTCAAAACGAGATAACTCAAAACCCCTGCATGCACACAGACTGAGCTCTCACTGTCATGTCCCTGTAATACTCAAAAAGGAAATAAAACACCAGGAGATAGTAACATTGACTTTCAGAGCAAGAAGGGCAGCATGAAAAGATAAAATTTTGCTAGAATTGGCTAAGCTGGACCTAGAGCTGTATGAAGCTCACAGCTTTGGCTTACCTACCCTTTAGGAAACCAACAAATTTCAGATTTAAGTTTGCTGGAAAATCAGACTATTCAAACTTTGCCACATCTTTTCCTTTGCTCATTATCAGCACTCAGGCAATGTCCTGCTGACTCTGACAGTGTAGAAGACCAGTAAGACCATATATACTCAGAATCATCACACAAAAGATTTCAAGAACAAACAAGGAAAATGACCTAGAACTGACTTAATATTCCCTACTATCTGAGTATTTCTGGGGTCATTTACCTGCACTAAAGAGATTATACAAGGTTTTCTGGCCCTGAAGGGAGGATTTGGAAGAATGAAAGACTTGGATGATTGCTGGGATCTTGAAAGCTGCAGACAAATGCCCACCAGCTGTGATCTTTGCTTTGTAAATACATTCCTCCCATCCACACGACAGCATGGCAAAGCAATCATCTAAGGTTAGCTGTGAGAGAATTACCTGTACACCGTGCTGTGCCAGGATAACAGAATTTGCAATGCTGTGTGTTTTAGATAAATAACTTTTGGTGTAAAAACTCGTGTAACCGTTTAAACCAGAGTTATACTGGACCATATCATGGCTGGATCAGGTGAAATTGCCATACATTACTCTCTCATCCCCTTGTACCATTTTAACAGAGCTTCTTGCAGTTTCTGTGCCTGGAGAACCTTTTCCCTAGAACTCCCATTTCACCCCTGCACGTCAGGAAAGTGACTGGAGACTGTCACAAGTGAAACATAGTGGCTGGTGTAACACAGAGCTCTGATGTGTCAGGTGGGTTCAGCATGTCTCTTGGAGTAATTTAGCACTCTGTGTGCAGCCATTAACACAATTAAATCCTGAAGAGGAAGGTTTTGCCTCCCCAACACAGAGTTTTGTTCCAACCTTTCTTCATGTCACACGTTCACAACCCCGTATGACCAAGAACGTGTTTTTGGAAGAACATTCTGTCTCCCAGTTGTTGCCTATGAACAAGTACTGTGGTTACCAGACCACTGCAGCAGCGTCAGTAACTAATGCCATTCCAGAACATCATGCTACTTTTTTCAGATGACTATATCATGCATTTGGCTTGTACAAAAAGTACTGTTCAGTGAGAGGTGTAGTCACTAGAAATAATTTTTTTAAAAAGAATGTTTACATTTCCTAAAAATTAAGGTATATGACATTTTCCTGTGTCTATAAAGAACACAAGGTTGAATAAAGTGTTGTACCACTAATGAAGTCAAAATCCTGTTGAAAAAATATCATAAAGCCTTACCAAATCATATTTCAGATGTTCTGTAGAACCCATCCTATTCTTTAAGATGTATGATTTGTATAAGAGAGAATTATTATTCACATCTTTTTCTGAAAATTAAAATTAAAAAAATGTATATAGATCAACAAGTTTTTCTGTATCTTTTTTACAGGAGCTGAACCCATTGATTATATTAGATGTGAATTTTTCCTTTCCTGTCCACTCACCAGCAGTGTGGAGAGCAATTCAAATCATATTTCCATGAATGTTTAGCAGCTGACTAAATCTGCTAGCTGCAGATTACCTGCCAAGAAGACACTGCAAACAAACCATATGTACATTATTATACACCTATTTACATCTAAGGAACAGTCTAGTTTACTTTTATCTATACATTTATATCAACTTTCACAGTGCTGGAACAAAGCATTTTCAACAGGCAGTTGCTTCAGCAAATAATATGCCCCCATTGCTAGCTTTTCAGGATACATTTCTTGGAGAATGGGTGGAAGCTTCCAGTAGCTTTGTCTACCATTGATGCAGCAATGAGAAGAATTAATGAGCACTGAAAATGTAGTTCAAACATAGTACAACTTTCTTCCTTGTTCACTCTAGCAATATAGACAGGATAGATATATTCTGTCTGATCTTCCTAAGGATGTTAATTTCCTACTGATATTACCCTGGTGGGTGGAAGTAGTAATTACAGTTGCACTTATACTGCAGTGGTAACTTTGCTTATTGCCCCTTTTAATCCCACACTGAAAGAATGGAGCTTGCAGCATCACAGCAAAGCAGTGCTGTAGCACCACAGTAGGTGTTAAAGGTCCACATCATTCAGAGCAATGAATAAGAAACTGAAGTAGTTGTGAGTTGGAGGACACTGAGAAACACTGAGAAAATGAAAACTTATCTCAAGAAGTAAGTTACCTTTCTGAGAAAGTACCAAGTCCCTCTGTTGTACGTGAATAGTTGCTTTCCACCAGTTTTCTCTGTCTTGGCAAAGTTGCGTGCTCTACATCAATTCTTCTTGTGTGTCTTGTCACCACAAGATATACATCAGATCTATCTTCTGTGGCCTAACAGTTATGTTGTGGGCACCAAGGATCCCTGTGTTTCTCCAAAGCAATTGTGTTAAGCATGATGGACATCATCTGCTTCGCAGCAGAAGGCAGCTGGCTCTGCTAGAGCTGTATCATGAAGTCTGGAAGGAGAAATTCTTAGTTAATGGAGGAGTACAGTAAGTGTATATCTAGATACACTAATCTCAATTTAGGCATGAATTTTTCTTCAGAACAGCAGTAAACTACGTAGAGTATATCCATACAAAAACAGTGGTACGACGACAATGTTAACAGTAGGGCATTGTGATGAAAGCAACCCAGCCCAGAGACACTTATTACTAAATAATTTCTTAGCGTTCAATGGCATTCTTACTTCATAGTATTCCAGACTCAGTTATAACTCCCTGGCTCAAGGCTAAATTACAGGGAAAGATGTGACCTACTCCAGAAGTGGTGGTGGAAATCACAGCACTTGAGTAACTGCATATCCCAGTTACAGTTTCCGAAGGCTCCCAGCTACATGTATTTAATTGCCAACCTTGATTTTACCTTTAGGAAAAGTAGCTTGTATACATGCATGGTCCTACACTTCCTTGTTGCACAGGCGAAGGACCCAACTCTACCTGATTTATCAGCTAACTCAGGTCATAGGGACAGGGTCCAGCCAGCTACAGGACTGAGTCTTCTGTACAGAAATACTACAAAGTTCTGGGTCTTCTTGGCCCTTTCCCCCCACCTTGACATACAGTAGCTAGGGAACCTATGGTACTTAAAACTGAAAAAAAAAAAAAAAAAAGTCTGCCAATAATAATAATAATAATACAAAAAAAAAAGGTTAATTGAATATGTGGTAGGAATGGGAAATAGGATTAGAGATGACACTTAGATCTAGATGCCTTTTCCAAGCTGTGGAAAAAAATAGAGCACAGTTATTTTTCCCACAGCCTGAAGACCCATGCCCTAAATGTCATCTCTAATCTTGTTTTCTATTTCTAGTGTATATTATACAGCACTGCTAGTGCCACTAAAGTTAAGGTGGTGTCAGTGTTTCCATTATAAACCCCTATTTTCAGAGGTTTGTAACTCAACCATAAGAATTTTTCTCTGGGCTGAAACTTGGCAAACAAGTTAAAGGACTGAAATATGTTTAATTTTTTTCTTCCTATAATTAAAAAAAAAAAAAGTGGAATTTTAACAACAAAAATTTGCACGCCATTAAGCTATCATAGAAACACACAATGCACAGCATTAGAAGTGATTCCAAAAGTACTGTTAACAGCTTTTTGGAATGATTATAAGGTGGTGGGTTTTGTTGTCATTCTTTGTTCAATTGATTGCTTTTTACTTTCAAATACAGATATACTACTATAGAGGTATTTTCTCTTTTTTTTTTTTTTTTTGTAATAAAAATAATGAATAGTTATACAACCAGTTCAAATCATTTAAGCTTTAAAACTGTTTGTAAATATTTATAGGACTGGGTCTGTAACCTGTATTTTACAAAGGCCTCCAACTACATATTTAAATGATAATATGTAACAACGCTGTATGACAGACAAATAAGTCAATAATGAGCTTTTAGGAAACTTCATAAATGTAGTTACATAGGCCAATAATCAGCAAGTTTTTCTTTCACATGAAAAGGCTCCCTGTTTAGCTAAGAAAACCTTACTCATGCAGAAATAATCAGATTTTGTTCATCTGTCCTTCCTTTTTCCATGTGTCATGGTAATGAAAACATTGTATACACAATTTGGCTAATACAGGAAAGATATGATAAATGGCTACTAAGATTTGAAAAGCACACTATAAAATGGGAAGAATTATTTAGAGTGAGACTCTAAATAGAGTTGGAATAAGGTACTAGGTAGACAACAATATCAGAATCTGATTCTTGACTGCCATTCAAAAAAAAAAAAAAAAAAAGAAAAAAAAGTGGGGATTATTCTTCCATCTATCTATGAGAGATACTCCTGACCCTTACAGGAAGTGTTCTCTCTCTTTCATAATTGATCTGGCTTATTAAGTCTTAAGTGAGTAGCTACTGAAAGACCACAGAAACTACTGTGAAAAAATTGATTGAAAGTTTGTTTCTCTTACAAGAAAGAAATGGAAGACACTAATTCTGATATAGTATAGAATGAAATAAATATCTGGAAGATTTCACTGTTTTAATATGTTAAAACACAGAAAAGTGTGCACACTGTGGCCTAAATTCCAATCACTGTTCTCATGCAATAAACATCATCGGTTTAAAAGGGACCAACATTTTTGATCCTTTTATATCTTACTCATAGTCACAGTCTCAGCACTGGGCAGCTCATAATTTAATCACTGCAGCTTTCAGGAGAAACCTCGCAGTCTTTCGATGTTTCAGCATTAAGTTGTCTAACTTCATGATCATTGTTATAAAATAGGAGATAAATCAGAAAGGAAGATGGATCTCTCCAAACACACAGTAAACACTTGGTGAATAAAAAGGCACATGACACCACACTTTGTTAAGGAATTTACAGCAGGTGACCTGCCCCCTTTCACAGTGGCAGAAATTGTATTATTCACTCCACATAATGAATGGGTAGGTTATGCTAATCTGAAGAGGGGAGCTATCAATTGTATATGTCCAGGCCATCCCTCCTATTGATTTTGTAATTAATGATGAATTTACATTTTGTAATGGAGAAATTGCTGAGGAGGGAACTTCATGGGGAGAATAAAAATGTTACAGTAGCTTAATCAATTAGGTACAGTTGACAAATGGGTGCAGGATAACACTACAAAGTACTGTGCTTTAGTAGTGGTCAAAGACTCAGAGAGAAGATGTCACATCACACCTGTATTAATATTTCCATGGGTTAAGTGGGAATCAGCAGGACCACAAGAAAACTGGTATCTCAAAATCATGAGTCTTTGATACTAACTTGAAACCTATTCGCTTTGTTCGCCAATAAAAACATTCATAATAACATGCTAGAGGCCAAGGAGATCATTTGTCACGTGCCAGTAACAGTATTGAAATCCTTGTAGAATATCATTTTAGGTAACAAACAGCACACGTTGGGCATAGATTTAGGCAATCATAAGTGTGACAGAAGAGGTCAAACCTTCGGAAGGAGGTAGGGCATCCTCTGTTCAGGTGTAGCCTGCGCAGAAATTTTTCTCTCACTCCCATGGCAAGCCTTTCAGCCTCTCCTGTTGCAGAAGTGAGAAGTGACAACACACATAACCAACTTAAATATTCAGCTTCAGCTAGGCAGTGATTTTTGAATGGATAACATATGCAACAAGTAACATCTCATAAACCAAGTCTAGAAGCCCACTGCAAAAATGCAGCCCTTATTTCCTCAAGCCTGACTCTTGAAAATGACTGCTCCTACACGTAATCTCTCCACTGACTTGACAGTAATTATTCATGGGAATGAGAGCAGTTGGCATAACAGGGTCATGCCCAGGACATCTCCACAGCTGGCCATACCAGACAGCAAACACCACCACTTCACTTCCTGAGAAACGTTCTCCTTGCTTTTGAGTGGGCTGAAGGACTTACATTTGTATGGGGATCTCTGTAGATGTATAACATGTACAATTTTTGTTTTAATTTCCCTGTTGTTACTTTCCTGGAAATTTAAGGCAAAACAAGACTTTCAGAGTGACTAAGAAAAATGTAGGTGAGAGATCTGACAGTTCCTAAAGGATAGCAAATGCTAAATTCTTACCAAAAATATTTTTCCTCTAATGTTTCAGCAAAATGAGTTACTTGACAACAGCTCAAAAGCAAAGACATGCCTTCTCATCGAGCCAAGACTGACTTACTGAAGGGACTCTTGCCTCAGTGCAAATGAAGATCAAACAGCACACTGACATCTAGAAATCACTTTCTGTTTATATCAGGATTAACTTGCCTAATATCCGCAATACCCTAAAAAGATCAGTCCTCCTCTAAGCCACACAGCCCTTCAAATAACTTGAAATATCAAGTTAAAACTGAAGAAGCCATGTAATCATCTTCCACCACTGCACTGTTCACCTTTGTATATCACAAATAAGTGAAGAAAGGACATCTCTTTTTTGGCAGTAGTTTTTGTTGGTGAGAATACCAGTCTAGCTACCCATATCACACCTCTCACATATGAAAAGAAAGCAATTACACCTAATAAAGATACCACCTATGCTTTACAAACCATACATGTACAAACATATTCATCAGTCAGGTCCATCAAGGAAATGGCAAACACTGGAAACACTAAGGTAGATGTGATGTGTGGAAAACTGACCAAACAGTGGTCTTTCTCCATTTACTTTTGCTTTCTCCATTTACTTTGCTTTATGCACTTTTCAGGCATGCAAAGTGATGCTGGCTGCTTTTAAGATGGTGTTTACTCTCACTTTGGAACAAACTGCTTTTTACAACTCAAAGAGTAGGAGCATCTGCAGGTACCCTATTAAAATCTGGATTTCATAAACTGGAAATATTGAGCACATTAATTATATTTTCTAGAAGTAATTGGATTCCATAAAATAACAGGTCCCACTCACTTTAATGCAAATCAAGAGTAAGTCATCCCAGGACAGCCTGGTTGTACTGATTAATAACTAGCATGAAGAGGTAATATAAGGAAGCTATTTGACTTCATCATGTTTTAATTTTGTGTGTGCCCACGACAATGTCATATACGTTCAGTTCAGCACAGAGTAACAATGTGTTACCATTATACCTGTCATCTCCAGCTGGACACCAACAATCTTTTTGAACTACAGGCAGGTTCAATACTGAAAGGTATTGCTAGGTGTTTTGAGAGCATACACATTGAATCAGTGCTTCTTACCAGAGAAAACAATGAAGGTAAAATGGTCAGAAATGCTATTCATTTAGGCGTTTATGAATAGATACAATGCTAACTAGGTTCTCCTATGTGCAAAAGGTGAAGAAAATTAGCTATGTTCACTTGAGAACTTGCATTAAGCTGCATATTTGTGAACAGGAGCTGAATGAGGACTGAACAAAAGCATTTTCTGGTTTCCACAGTCCAAAATCTGTAAAACATCACTGGTTTCATTGGAGGCAGATATTTGTGGAATGGGGTATTTTCTTTGAAATGTGTCTTTCTGAAAGTATTTTGTTAGCATACTGAATGCCCCTCTTTCCTAGTACATGTAAGACTGAGCTGGTAGAGTGGGATTAGAGAAGGGACAGAAACAATGCTCAATGTCATATTGAAGTTTTGAAGCTTGGAAGGCAGGAGACAGACCATTAAAAGATCAAACTGTAGAAAAATCCTTACCTGTTACTTGAAAGTATACAGAAAATAAATTTAAGATGGTAACTCTTTATATGGTCATTTGTTCTGTGAATTAGCATAACAGCTACAGGCTCAACTTACTCTTGTAAAGCAGACTAATATCCAAATTAAACTTTATAGGGTAAGAAATAACAAAACAGACAGGATAAATACAATCAGAAGGAAGATGTTGTAGTTAGTGGTGTTTCTGTTCACATGGGAATTTGGGCATGGGTGGAAAGTGTTGCTTGCTATTTGTTTTTACAGCTTTACTCCTCTACCCATTTCAAAAACTCCCCTAAGATTACAGTAGCAGCCTCAGTCATATCTCCACAGAGAAAGTTTTTAAACCTTTGTTAAAGAGTTTCATAAGAGCTCTGTGCTATTTAGGTTTCCTTAACTTGTTTATTAAGTTAGATAAATCCATTCTTGACTTCTGAATTAAACAAAATAGTGAAGCGCACAGGAGTCTCAACTTTCACTACAACTTATTTCAAGCTTGTGATTCAGTGCCTGAGGTTAATTCTCCAGTGGGTCCTGGGACTTAAGAAAAGGAAATGAGCACATCTCAGAGAAGGGGTAAAACTCAGGGCTAAGGCAACTACTTCAGGTAACGTTATACAGGAGGAAAAAAAAAATCCTCTGGAAGGTAGTTAACATATTCCCTGCACTTTTCCTTTATGGTAACACTTTACTGGCATCAGTTACAGCCAACTGAAGTCACTGTTTTAAAACAACAAAACAAACAAACAAAACAAAACAAAAAACACAACAATTCATTAGGTTCTAGCCTTTCCTTGACACTTCAAATATAAATGTCAAGATATTTTATTTTGTTGGTGTTTTGAGACACTCAACTTTTCAAGACTGGGCACTTCTCCAAAAGCTACACTCCAGCTTTTGCCTTGAATAATTTTGTGAATTGCTACGGCCCATTTTATTCATAGGGTCAGAGCAGATGATTATAGTCATCTCTTCTGGTCTTAAAAGCTAAACAACCCTATGCTAGCCAAGAAATCATAATGTTTCAAGTGGTAGAATATTTTTTTTAATAGAACTTCTCGGTACTCTGTAATTTTCTTAACATGTCAATGACATTTAAAACCTAATGGAAGTTCCCTCTGTCTCTTCTTAAAGAACACTCCCTCTAATAATGTATTTTGTATCAACACAGACGTGTTTTCCCTCAGGATGGAGAGTTTCTAGTTGGAGTGCCATGAGTCATACAGCTTTTCCTTCTTTTGTATAAATTAATTATTTTAGGGGATTTTTTTCTTCCTATTTAACTGTATGAATTTTTGTCATTTTCATTTCCATCTTCAAGATGTAAGCAATCTCACTCAAAAATTCAAATCAATTCATTCTATCCATTCATTGTGATTTTTATGATTGAATGTTCTTTATTAGCCATTTTTCAACTTACCATGTAAAACAGCACCTCTTCACATAAACTTCTCCTTGTTTCTTATCCATAGATCTTTATGTCTAAAACAAAACCAATATTTCTGGAGTTGATATTTTAAACCATGCAGAATATAAAAACAGGAATTGTATATTAACTGGTCAAAACCAAACCTCCTGGAGTGATGAAATGTTGTGATGGAACATAACAAACAATTAGATATATTTTTCATGTTAATTCATACTGGAGAATTAACATTCTGGATTTTAAAATACCAATTACAAAATACATTTTTACTTTTCTTCTTCTTAAAACATACCATGAAAGGGGGAAAAAAACAACATGTATATGCAGTAATATAAGATAGAAAAAGGTTTAATTGTGTTATCTAAATCCTCATTCTGTGAATAATTTTTGCAGCTAAGGGTTTAATTAAAAAACAATTCCTCCGTGACACACATTCAAAATACATTTCCCCTTTCTTCAGGTGAAATGAGGTAACTTTCATTGGCTACAATATTGGTGGAACTAAAAAACCTTATAAATATAGAATAAAAAGAAGGCTGCTTTCGCCAAAAAATGGACATGTACACACGCATATATATAAACATTGCATGCAAGAAGAGTTGGGATTGGACAGAGAAACTAAAAACAAGTACAAATCAATCTGCTTGATAATGGCTCAAATACAGCTGACTAAATTCCTGTATTCCTTTTCTAGGGAAAATTGCAACATCTTGAAATTGTCTTTTATTCTAAACCAGAACTGGACCACAAATTTCAGAATTTACTCAGTACAGAAACTAAAAAATCTATGCTAAGCAGCAATGACACATTTTGAAATTATAACAGTATAATTAATGTAAAAGAAAGTGGAACATGAGCATTTTGAGTCTACTGATGTCAAAAATCTGGATCACTTCTTGTATTTGCCAAAATCAGTACACTACAGAGAAATCTTGCTAGGTTGATACATAATTATTTAATACATATGGATGTAGCCATATATTTGCACATGTAATTGAAAGCTAAAAAAAAAAAAAATTAATGGATTTACTTGAAAGGTAATGTTTACAGATCACACATCAGATCTCATAAAAGAATAATCTTTTACTGGGGCAATGGCACAACTAAAACTAAATACTGCATGAATGTAGAAGAACCCAAGGACCCAGGCTTTGGCACTATAAGCATACTCTCCACCATCCAGACCTTTGGTTTAGGGACTTCGGAGCAAATGGAGGTCTCTTCTTGTATTTTTTTTTCTGGAGTAACTGGGAGGGATTTGAAAGAGGTGGAGAAGACACAGACCCTAATCATAAAACACCCATCAGCCACTCGCTAGAGCAAGGGAACTCCAAGCAGTGATAATGAGTTTTAATTTGCTACTAATGTACAGCTGCAATGGGAGAAGCAGAAAAGTCATGTCTGGACTGCTTTCCCTGAGCCACAATAGCACATTTCCTGGACTAGTAGTGTAGTTTACATGCTGTCAGTCCTGTAGCATAGTGCCTTAACATATAAGCTTTGTAAAGTGAAATTTCATTCTGCTACAGCAGCATATTGCTGTAAATTAGGCCACCAGTGAGCAATCAGAGCTGATCTTCTTACAGCCTTTTGTAACATCATTTATGCAGAAGCCAGATTTCTATTCTTCTGTGCAGGAGCCTCTAGAAATAAATTCACAATGAAGAAAATGCTTTCACAATTTCTGATAGCTTTTCTTCCTGGACAATACAGAATATTTCTTAATTTATTCTGAGATATGTAAGAGAGACTCTGGGTCTCACAGGTCTGTTAGCTGTTACAGTTTCTTGCTGCAGGTTTCCCCGATGCTGCAGAGTTCTCATTCTTAGAGCGTACTTTAAAACTGTGCTTTATTTAGCGTGGTGGGCTCAGTCAGTTGGACCAGACGATCATCTGTTGGCTGGTCAACAGATGTGCCTCATAGCATCCAAGAGCAGGAAAGAAAGAAAAGTCTATAGCACAGGACTTCACCAAAAGCCTTTTAGAAATACAAGTATAGCAACTAGCTCACCCTCCCTCACTTCATTAGTGACCTCTTCAAAGAACTCCAATACATTTGTAAGGCGTGGTTTATAATTCATCACTCAGTAATAGGATAAAGAGTTTTCATTCAAAATTTCCTTTTAATTTTAGTCAACATAATGAGACAACTGTTAATGAATCACAACCAGCCTAAGTGTAAGTGGAAACATTTCTGCTTATTTAATGGATTGTACCCATTTCTCTCAGGACAAGACTGGGCCATTGATGTGCCGGCTGCTTATGGGTTTCTGATGAGTCTGATTTGCTCCCTAGGAATCTGCTGGTATGTCTATAGGAATCCTGAGAGCTAGAGCTTGCTGTGAGAGAGTAGCTACCATTGAAAATGAAAGCTAGAGTGCTCAAAAAGGCCTAAAGAGGGTTAGAAGCTCATCAGTAAGCCCTAAGACACTTAAGTTCCCTGGGCACCTCAATCAGATTAGTTACAGATAGGAAGTGCTAAAATGGGATTGCACCCTGTGATGTGCAGGGTGGGGAAAATGCTGGATTTCCTATATCCATTGCATCCTTGTTTCTGTCAGAGGTCATATCCTGCTGCTCATAACAAACACAGCAACAAGGGCAAAAATTACCAAAAAAACCTGTATTTGTTATTCTAGAACATTTGTCACAATCCTCTCTGTACGTTCAGTAAACATGCAGCCACGACAGGGAAGAAACAGTAATCTACAGGCAACACAGCTAAAAAAGCTTCTGGTCACAATTGGGAATTCCTATACATCCACTTCCCTACTGTGAAGTAAATGCCAAAGAGAAAAAATAGATTTTTCCAGCCCCCATCTCACTCCAGCCATGCAATGAGCTATGTGTTAATTTGTAATAACATGGAAGAAAATGAATGCAAAAGTTTAAGTAAAAGCAGTAAAAGTAAAAACAGGAGAACAGAGCTTGCAGAACAGGAGGAGCTTAGTGACCAGGAATGTGGTATGTGTAATGAACTATTCTGAAAACATTAAATGGAAAACATAAACATTAAATGGAAAAATGTGTGTATATATATATATATATAATATATATATATATATTTATTTTTTTTAACTAAAAAAGTCAGAGGTTGTGCAGGTATCCATCATGCTCCCTGGTTGTGGAATACAGGTACAGGCTCAGAGCAGTAAACAGAGGCTTCTACTCTATTGCGAAGTTCACTGAGAGTATTTGTCCACTCATAGTATCAGAAAGGAGAAAGACCTTTTGCTCTTTTTTTTTTTTTTCCCAACATATATACCTTTTATAAAATGTTGGTTTATCTTTGTCTTACTGTTTTATGTGGGGGAAATGAATTGCAGATTATGAAAAGGAACAAACAAAAAGTATGAAAGCAAATGCAGCTAAGTACCCTGATTGTCTAAAATTTGATTATTATCAGCAAGTAACTCCCTTGTAAGAGTAGCCCTAATTGACTATTAGCAGGAGTAGCTAACAATTTCAAGGCAATTAATAATATTTTAAAATAATTAGTTGGCTAATATATTACATTAGAGCATACGGTAAGCAGAACTCTTGCTAATTATATATATTATTCTCCCTACGTTGCTTAATGAAGGTGTCTGGCTTTTAGATTAATTCATTCTCTCTTTTTTTTAATCAGTGTAACTAATCCTCCCACATACTATTATAACATTAAAGCTGAAAAATGTGGATGAAGCAGTGAAAGAAACACAAAAAAAGAGCATTAAAATGAAGATTTAGTTTCAAGTTGCAGAAGCAGTTGCACAAAGTAAAGAATTAAGATGTAGAGAATTTGAGAGAAAATGCAGAAGCCTGAGTCAACATTTATTTGAACACCTTCTGCCTAATGCTGAAGGCATAAATCGCCACACACAGAAGTAATAATACCTAGATCATCCCAATTTTCATAACAAAGCATTTTTTCTGACAAAAATATTACCACTCCAGACCTTAAATGGCTGTTTTTTTGTTTGTTTGTTTGTTTTTATTTATTTTCTGTTTTCTCCAAAAGCAAAGGAGAGGTGTCTGCTGCTGTGACTGCACAAGTGAATTACCTCCTCTGGCATCCAGAACAGACAAGTTTTCCTGTCCTGGGTACCAGAAATGTAACATAACTTGCATTTCTTCCCCTAGCTCAAAAAAAAAAAAAAAAAAAAAATTCCCTGCAAAAATGATCCCTGGTTTGGAGGGAGGTGTGGTGGAGGAAGCTCTTCCTTGGCATTCCCCGATAAGAGTGAGAGCTGTCCCATGTCCCAGACTTGGTCCATGATGTCGCCCACCACATGCACCTACACACCCTGGGTACACAGCCCTGCACACACAGTACAGGGGCTCTGCCCCAGCTCTCAGAAATCCCTTCCCCACCTCCTCAGTGAAGCCTGGGCAGCACCAACCATCTGAAATGCAACAGCTCCATGAGGAGACATGAGGTCGACCTACCCATTTAACTTACCCCACTACATCTCCTAACACTGTCCTGCAGGTGTAATCCTCTTCAGGTTCCAGGAGGAGCTGCTGGATGTTATGGAAAATGACTGCTCTTTCAACAGGACAAAATCACAAAAGGAACCATTTCAGCAGTGAATGTCTCTCAAATAAATATCAGACCAGGGCCAGGCTTGAGCTGTGAGTTTGCTGGTAACTTACATACACCTGGTATATAAGTTGTCTGCGCTATGAAATATAAAATAAAGCCTTTACACCAGCAGTGCCTTATTATATCTGCATTTTGAGACAAAAAGAGTACAGTAAATGACCATGCCTATTAAACGAGTATGTTCATTTGAAAACATTCAGAAGACACGCATGTTCATCCCCAAACCAGCATGCCCCCCCAGTTCAAGCATGCAGGCATGGGTACGGATTCCCAGAAAAGCAGTTCTGCACACAGCAATACGTGCCTACAGCTTACCACTTGCACACACCTACTGGCTTTTTGTCTTTGATCCTGCCAAGCATATACAGAGAAACTTCTTGTCCTCAGTTTGCACTGTGGGTATGAGGAAGCAGCCTGTTTCCAAGACCGAGACTTCTCAAAATACTGTTCTACCACTGTTTATCACATTTT